TCTTTTTATTGTGTCCCATATTTCCTGAATGTTTTGTGATGAGAATTTGTTGGCTTTGCTGTTTTCTTTGATCAGAGCGTTTATTTTCTCTATGGTGTCTTCAGAATCTGAGATTCTTTCTTCTATCTCTTGTATTTATTGATTATGCTTGTTTCTGTAGGCTCTGCTCGTTGTCCTAGATTTTCCATATCCAGCTGGTCCTCAGTTTGTGTTTTCTTCCTTGCTTCCATTTCAGTTTTCAATTCTTGAACTGTTTCCATTACCTGTTTGATTGTTTTTTCTTGGTTTCCCAAGGTATCATTTACGCATTTACTCTTTTCTTCAAACTTTTTGTTATACCTCTCATCCATTTCTATAAGGGCATTTTCAATTTTTTCCACTTCTTCTGTGTTAGGGTGTTCAAGTCCTTCTGTTGTAAGATCATTGGGTTCTGGTGTTTTCATGTTGTTTTTCAGATTGTTGGGTCAATTCTTGCCTTGACGCCTGACCATCTCCTCCTATCGTTGCTATCTAATGGGTCTTCTAAAACAGGAACAGGTTTTCCTGCTGGCCTAGGGCCCCACTTACAAAATGCCTTCTCTCTGTTTCCTGGGTCCCGCCGCTGCCCAAGATCTCTTTCACCACTCAGAAGGGTCTTCAGGACCAGGACCAGGCTCCCCGTTCGCCAGGGACCTCCCCAACAAAAGGCCTACCCCTCTGCAGGCCAGCAACCAAAACAGAGAAACTCCCGCTGTCCTCTGCCCCAAGCTCCCTATCCAGCACCCAAACAGGCTAAACTGGGTGATCCCGCGGCCTCGTGGAAGGGAGGGGGAGTGAAGGAGGCCCCTGGGCGCAAGCTGTGATATGCCAGGGAGTGAGAGGTTGCAGCAGAGGAGGAGCAGCCCCAGCAGAGGGGACCAGCCCTCGCATGCTAACCCGGGGATCAAGGGGGTCGGGGAATGCCCCCGTTCCATTTTCTGTGTCCCGCCGCGGGCCAAGAACACTCTCCCCACTCAGGGTGGGCTTCAGGGACAGGATCAGGCTCCCCGTTCGCCCGTGGACCTCGCCAATAAAAGGTCTACCACTCTGCAGGCCAGACCCCCAAAAACCTACTTGATTTAGTTGTAGTGTGGCAATCTGCTCTCAGTGTGGGCTTCACTGTTTCATGCTTGGACTATCCCTCATCCGCGGTGTCTGTGCGCCGATGTCCGCCGCGTCTGCGCGCCCACTAGCCATTATTTATAGACTTCATTGTAATAGTTGAAGATTCCAGCTCCTTCATTCGTCCGTCATTTGTCTTGTCTTTGCAATGTTCCTAGTCTACCACCACTCTTCTTGGCTTCATTTTTAATTGGCTTAGATCTTTAATCTATAAGCATTCCATACTTCCTCACACTGCCCAATTCTGTAAGATGATAGACTTCCTATACCCATAAAGCTTGTTAAGCTATCAGGGTGTGTGTGTGTGTGTGTGTGTGTTTACAGGAACTTAGTACATCCTGGACTGACACTCTACACTTGAGCTACATCCCTGTATTTTTCTTCCTGGAATAATTCTTTCTGTAGTCTTCTATCCTTTTCTTCTCTGGTCTGTTTATCCTCAAGTGTAGCCTTTAGTAGAACTTTGCCCTAGGTCTTCCTATTTTTATCTTTTTTGAAATACATTTTAGTATCTTTCTGTTAAAAGGTGTATGGGTATAAAATATTTAGGACTTTGCATTTCTAGCCAGGTCAGAATTTTTGAGGTGTTGTATGTGTGGCTTTTCTGTGATGCCACGGAAAGCCGTCATGCTGCGTGTTCCTTTGGCTGTAACCCACACTTTCCCCCACAGTGATGACTTCCATTTTGATATTCCTTGATGATTTCTGGTATCCCAGCTATTTTGCTTGTTTTTTCCTTTATTCATTTGGTTTCTACCCCAGAGATTAATTTCTTGTGCATTCTAGACGGTCCTCCAGGAAGTGCTCCTTCAGTGTTGACTCGGTCATTTCTCTGCTCCATTTCTTCTCTAGGTTTCATTAGTTAGATCTGGGACCACTTGAATCAACCCACTAGTTTTTTCACTTTCTCCCTATTTATTTGTTTGTTTTCTAGACGGTTTCATTTAGCCCTGGCTGTCCTAGATCTCACTCTGTAGCCCAGGCTGGCCTCAGAGTCACAGAGATCCGCCTGCCTCTGCCTCCCATGTGCAGGGATTAAAGGTGTGCGCCACTCCACTCCATTTCACTCACTTAAAAAATATTTATGTTCGAGATCCAGGCGAATCTCGATGAATTCCAGGCTAGCCTGATGGTCTGCTTACATATCAAGTTGTAGGCCTGCCAGAGTTACAGAGTTGAGAAGGTCAAAAAATCTTCATATTTCCTTAAGAATTCCTCAGCCTTTTACATTCAGGCTTTTATGAAGGAGGCATCCCTCAAAAGTTTAAAAATCAATGTATGTTAGTTTACACCAAAGAGCAAGATGGTAGCAACTGGCTGTAGGTAGAACTGAGTGTGGTGTATATGCCTATAGTCCCAGCTTTGGGGAGGCAGAGACAGGAGACTTATTGGAGCTCAAGAGGTTGAAGACAGCCAAATAGATGGGCAAATAGAGCCTGGCTCAGAATACGAAAGCAAAACTGAATTACATCTCGGTATGCAGCAAAGACAAGGTGTGGGCCTGGTGGTTAGTGTTCCCAGCATGGGCAGGCAAAGAGCACTGGGGAACTCAGCATTCTGTACTCAGATCTACTTAATTCCTCAGCAAAGCCTGTCATATTTCTACTGGTCCTTGTCCTGTGAGAACGAGGAAGGAGGAATTGCTGGGCTCAGTGGATCAGAGTAGAAACATGGGGAATTATCTGTTGACATTTAAGCGCTATTATTGTCCTCAGCCAGCCTCATCCTGACTTTGGTTAGCTAGTAACTCTACAGCATGTGGGGCAGTCTGTGAGGCTACTCGGTCATGCGTTCTCATCCTCTGCACCCTTGGGTTGTCTTGTCTTCTCAAAGTGTTATTCTGCATTCTGTTTTGGTCTCTTAGTGGTGCTAGGTAAGGTATATCCTCTAGGGTTTCAGAAGGTGTATACTTGTTTCTCCTTATTCTGCCCTTCCTGGTTCTGGCTTGCTTTCAAAGAGGAGCCAAGAATTTGAGGAAAATCCACTACTCTTCCCAAGTCCTCTCTTTAGCATCTGGAGGAACACACACATCTCCTGACTCACCCGATTCTGTATACATGCCCAGTTAATCTTTATTAAGGACTCATCTTTACCAACATCTCCAGAAATTAATCCCGGTAGAGTGGGAGGTACCTGGGGAACATGTGACACTGAGTTAGGTGAGGTTGGTTAACACTCCTGCTCTCTGTCTCTGTCTTGTGCCGTGCCTTTCCCACCTGTATCTCAGAATACAGAATCGCTCTTGCAAAGTGGCCAGGCTAGCAACTAGTCAGGAAAGCCTGCTGAAGGGAAGATGGGATTAGTAGTGAATGCCCTCTAGACATTGCATTTTTGATGACGAAACTCACACTTACCCAGCAGTTTTTGGAGGAGGATAGCCATCAAGATGAATCCAGACACATTTCTGTACCCACCCCTCACCTCTGGCAACTCCTGTGGCCTGTGTCTCTATAGTTCTTCTGCCCTTTCTTCAAACATCCTGCACATGGAGTCACAGGTGTAAGCCATCACGGTACTTTGTGATTGCCATGCCCTTGCCTTATTCACTAGGCTTTTTGGTGGTTGTCTTTACAAACATGTCTGTAACAAGTTTTTCTAAAGCATTTACTTTAATTTTGGTCATAACTTAGTCTTTTTACTCTTACAATAAGAGTGTTCAGCTAGGCCTCACACGCCTTTAATCCCAGCACTGGGGAGGCTGAGGCAGGCGGATCTCTGTGAGTTTGAGATTAGCCTGGTCTACAGAGTGAGCTCCAAGACAGCCAGGTCTGATACACAGTGAAACCCTGTTTGGGGGCAGGGGGCGGGGGGTGTTCATAATATTTTATTAAATTGTGTATTTGTAGCAGCAAGCACTGGTTCGCAGACGAGTGCACACATGGCTGATGTGCTGGGCTCGGGAAGGGTGACTGCTGCTTTCTGAGCTCAGCAGCCGAGTGTCCACCCCTGTGGGGCTTCCCTCTTCTGTGGCTGCACCCTAGCTGTCCTAAGACCCAGAACACTTGAACGTCCCTTTCCTTACCGCAGTTTACATTTCCAGGAGAGATATTTCAAGGTGAAATCATTTTTAAGACCAAGTGTTTTGAGAATTGCCTGTTTCTTTGTTTGATTAGTTCTATTGAACCTGACCTGACTCCCTGCAGCCGTACTGGAAAACAGTATGTGCGTTTGTGAAGCACCCACTCAGCTTGCTCTTTTGACCTGGAAATGTTATGTGTTTTTCTCAGTTATTTCTAAAACTATGGTTTGGGATTTAAAAATTTGTGTGTTTGAAAATTAACCATTTAAGCAAGTCAAGATATAATTAGACTAAAACAATAGCAAAGTTAAAATGAATTTAAAAGTTACCAAAGTTGAGTAACTTCCCTCTGAATAAAAAAAATTTGAAAAGGAGGCACTCATTTTGGTAACTTTTTCATTATTGTAATAAAACTTTTTTAAAACATTCAAAAGTTTATAGTAAATATAAATCAAATACAAATGTGAAAATTCTTGGTGCCTGGAGAATTGGTAAAATAGAAGCAATGACCAAGTTGCAGACAAATGACATAAGTGTCCTGTGAAACAGTTGTGACCATTTGTTACAAATGTCATTTCTTTATAGAACTTTGGGGCAGGTTAGTGTCACACTAGTGAATTTCCATAAACTTTGTAGTGCAGGTAACTGATGAAAGAAGAACTGGGAGGGTTGAGATGAGACACCAAGTACTCGGGAAAGTAGCTAGGACAGCCTATCTATTTCCAGACACCAAGGACTCAACAGAACTCAATTGAGATATTGACAAGTCCATAGGCCTCTCATGAGAATAAAGGGAAGCACACTAACCACAAAGGTTTTGTTTCTGGATTATTTCCTGCAGGATGGCCCCAGAAGTTGCAGCTGTTGAAAGGAAAGGAGGGTACAATCAACTGTGTGACCTCTGGGCAGTGGGCATCACTGCCATCGAGCTGGCTGAGCTCCAGCCACCCATGTTTGACCTTCACCCCATGAGGTCAGTGTGCCCACACTAAACCCAGTGCAGATTAATGCTTATTGACTATGTCATGAATTTACTCTAGCCTTGATGGGACTAGATAGGAATGTATTCCTGTTGTTAGAATGGGAAATGTGTTAGAATGTCCAATGTTTTATTTGTTTTCCAGGGCATTATTTCTAATGACAAAAAGCAATTTCCAGCCTCCTAAACTAAAAGATAAGTTGAAGTGGTAAGTGTCTTTGTTTAGTGACTTTTATGATAAGGTAAGCAAAAAGAGAATTAAACTACAGAAGCTTAATTTCCAACCTTCTCAGGTCAAATAGTTTCCATCATTTCGTGAAGATGGCACTTACCAAAAATCCAAAGAAAAGACCCACTGCAGAAAAGCTACTACAGGTATTAGTTTACCCTGAAACATTCCCATACTCAGAAGATAGGTGTGCAGTCCAATTTCTAAAGTGTTTTGTGTGTTTTATAGCACCCCTTTGTCACCCAGCCTCTCACAAGGTCTTTGGCAATAGAGTTGCTGGATAAAGTGAATAATCCAGACCATTCCACATTCCACGATTTCGATGACGACGACCCTGAGGTAGGCGTTTTCACTGACTAGTACACGTAGTTTTGTGTGTGCGTGTGTGCGTGCGTGCGTGTGTGTGTGTGTGTGTGTGTGTGTGTGTGACTCTGTTTAAAGTTTTTTATCTTCTAGTTTTAAGTAAACTCTTGCTTGGGGAGGGTAATTAATTCTTTGTTCTGGTAGTCATTTGATACATTTTCTTTTGGGGGGGGGTTGGTTTTTGGTTTTTTGAGACAGGTTCTGGCTGTCCTGGAACTCACTCTGTTGACCAGGCTGGCCTCAAACTCAGAGATCCATCTGCTTCTGTGTCCTGAGTGCTGGGATGAAAGGTGTGCACCAGCACTGCCCAGTACTGGATGCGTCCACTTGTTGAAATCACCGCGGTTACTTCACCGTAGTCACGTTAGGTTGCTCAGTCAGCAGGGAGATGCATCTAGATGATGTTAAAACATAACCTCCACTTTTCTTGAAAGAACCCTGGTACCAGGCTTTGTACGGCATTGGGAATTGGTAGTTAAGAACTGAAACCATGATTCTCCACCATGGAAATAAAAACAAGCCAGTTTTAGATATACAATAGCCCTAACATGGAATCCCCATTTCTGTTAGCGTATCCCCCTGTCCTAGAATAATAATAGCCAAGTGTACAGCCAAATTCTGTTACTGCCTCAGTTGGACGGCAAGGCACTCAGGATGATGTGGAGTTCCAAGGTGACGCTGAAAGAGCAAGAGCCATCTCCATAACTCAGGGAGACGGTCAGCTTGTCCTGGGGAGAACCCTGTGTCACCTCAGTGTCATCCTAGCTCTCCATATTTATGCTCTCATAAATAGACGTCTCTTTTTAATAAGTACTGAAAAGAAGTATGGAAGTATGAAAGTTAAGTGTAAAGTCTATTTGATCCAATACCAGGGAGGTAGTTAGTTTTTGCTGTTTTGTGTAATTTTAGGAAATTTGACTTTATAAATTTGATTAGTACAAAAGAGGTCCTGTACCCGCAAGGGACTGTAAAAGTGGTCCCTAGGCCAGATGTGGTGGTGCACACTTGTAATCTCAGCACTCTGGAGGCTAAAGCAAGAAGATAAGCTCAAGGTCTGCTTGGGGTGTTTGAGTCCCTAGACCATGTAAGCAGAAACTCTGCAAAGCAGTCTTAATAATTAATGGGAATAATTAGATTTTTCCATGAGATTTTAATTTTTGGTTCAAACATTAAAAACTTATGTTATCAATTACATATATATGCATATATATGTATATATATATTTGGAAGTGAATGATACTATGTAGTATTAATATATAATAGGAAGTAAGGCTAAGATTTGTGTATTTCATTTTTATATTGAAAAATAATCTAGATCACTCATCACCCCATAACCTGCTGACCAGTAGCTACCAAGCACAACACACCTTGTCCTGTGACCTCATGACACAGGGCAAAGATACTTTCCGCCATACTCCCTTCTGAGTCTCCTTTCTAGTCACCGTTGAGATGTGAGCCTGTTGTTTGCATAGCAGTTGGTGAGCCAGGGTTGATGTTGGTATTTGATGCAGTGACAACTAACGTACTGTAGTCACTGGGATATGAGCCACCTTGTAAGAAGCTGGTGTCACTGCAGAACAAGAACCATTACTTATTGCAGTGCACTAAGCACTGTATTGTTGTCTAAACTCTAGCCTGCTTGTGACTCAACATGTCCTTTTGAACTGTGTCCACAGAAGACAAATAGACATTAAATGTAGACACTGTGGGGAAGGAGGTATTATGGTTTAAGTAAAATGGTGCTGTCCCAAGTGGCTGCAGTGGGCAGCGGGGCCCGGGGTCCACAAAGGCAGCTGGGTCCCAGGCAGGGAGCCCCCGAGTGGCCAGCAGGCCATAAAGGCGAGTGGGTCCTAGGCAGGAGCCACGTTATGGAGGGAAACGGGAAAGGGGAAGGGGAAGGAGGAGGAGGGGGGGGGGGGCGCACACGCGTGCCAAGGCAGCAGCTACCTCTTTGGAACTTAGGCTGATTCAAGATCTGTTTGTCTCAGCAGGTCGGGGAGGGGGTGGGCAGGGCTTATCTCTTAAAGGGACAGGTCAGACCATTACAGGAGGATTTCCAAAGACTCCATGCAGCAACAATGGGTGTATGTGAGTCTTTCCTGTAGGAGAAACTTGCTAGGCATTGTTATCACCTGAGATAGATGCTACATCAACTTTAGCGATGGAGCTATTGAGGGCTTCAGACATGGCCTCATGGCTCCCTAAGGTTGCAAGAACCCCCATGAATTAACATTAAGTAGATGAGCTGTCCCCATTATGCCCTTTCTTAGGGGCAGTCACTTAGCATAATTCTAGTAAAAGGAAAGAGAAGAGGGATAACTTCAAGGAAGATATAAGGAAGAAAATTTGTTCACTGAAGAAAACTTGTCTTTAATGCTTTTAGCATTACTTCCTTGAGTTTCTCTCTTGTTCACTTAGTGAAAAGGCTGCAGCAGATTTTCTTTAATTGTGGTTTTCCCCTCTGGCACGTTTCTCCGTGGTTTCTTCTGGTTGCAGCTTTTGAACAGCTATTGGATTATGGATTCACTTTTAAATGTTAAATTATGTTCAGCCCAGTGAACATTATTAGGAAGCTACTGTGAGTGAAATACATCCCGCAATCTTCAAAAGCTCTGTTTCAGAAGTAAGAAAAAAGAATAGCCACTTCCTGTGAGAGAACTCAGAGATACTTCCTGTGAGAGAACTCAGAGATACTTCCTGTGAGAGAACTCAGACATACTTCCTGTGAGAGAACTCAGAGGCTTTGCTGTTAGGTGCAGTGTGGTCTGAAGGAAGTGCAGGAAAGGACTGAAGATTAAAAATGTCTAGACTGTTTTACATTTTATTAATATTATTTTAATTGTGTGTGTGTAGGTGTGTGTGTGTGTGTAGGTGTGTGCATGTGAGTGCAGGTGCATACAAAGGCCAGAAGTGCCGCTTTCCATGGAGCTGGAGTTACAGGTGGTTGTTAGCCACCTGACACAGGTGCTGGGAGTGGGACCACTGAGCCATCTCTAGCTCCATCCAGGCATTTATAAAAAGAGAATCAGCTTCTTAATCTAAATGCTTGATTTCAATGTGTAAATACTCTACATCCTTGAATAGTATCTGCGAGCAATGACTGCAATCAAGGCAAGTTCTATATGATAAGATGTAAGTGTGAGCTAGCATGATGGTTCTGTGGCGTAAAATCACTTTCCATTCAAGCCTGACAGCCTGAGTTCCATCCCAGATAGAGAGATCTGACTCCCAAAGTTGTCATCTGTCCTCTTCATACACCCATGGTATACGTGTACCCAAACACACATCTCACAGACACACACACACACACTTGCATGTGCACCCAAGCACACATCATGTACACACAATAATAAGAATTATTATAATTTTGAAAGTAAAGGAACACAACTGTAAATGTTTATTCTATTTTTCTGGATTCCTGTGACCAAATATATGAATAATGGATTTCTTTACGTTGAATAACAGCATATAGTACATAAGTATATTTAGAATAAACTTAAAGGAAGTTTAAGAGATTAATATATTTTATTTGGATATTTAATATTATTGCCCATGTCCTAGTTTGCTTTCCATTGCTGTGATAAATCACTGATGAAGACCAACTGGGGAGGAAAGGGTTGTTTGGCTTACAGCCACAGTCATGGTAGATCATCAGGGAAACCAAGGCAGGAGCCAGAGCAGATGCCATGGAGGAGCACTGTCTTGCTCTTCATAGCTTTCTTGTGCCAGCCAGGAGCACCTGCAAGGGGTGGCACCGCCCACAATGGGCTGAGCCCTTCCATATTAATCACAAATTAAAAATGAATGCCCTGTAGTCTTGACTGCTGGCCTGTCTGATGGAGGTGTTGACCCCAGCCTGTGTCAAGTTGATAAAAACTAGCCTGCACACCAGGTACCTCTCTTAAATAAAGATTGTATTTTTCATATTTTGTAAAATTCCTAGAAAATTTAAGGGACATTATTGTTGGGTTGGCTACAAGTTTCTTTTGTGGTAAGGTGTATGTGCCTGGTTATGTTTTTAAAGATGGGGACCTGAAAGTGAACTTATGACGTCAAAGTATCAGAATTCACTTGTCTTAGATTTGATCTAAGATGGTTGGCATCCATTTTCCCTAAACTCCAAACAGAAGTGGATTTGAATTTGAGCCCTGTGGCCTGTCACTTCCAGACTTTGCTAGTGAGCAAATAATCCCGGAATTTTTTGCTTGGTGATACTCCAGTGAGACCTTTCTATAGAAACAGACTGCAGTGGGAATTGACCATGAGCCTTAGTCGGCTATCCTTATAGAAGAGAAATGGACGCCACCACCACTCCCATTATCGCAGGTCGTATCGGACAAGCATTAGCATGAGCAGCTGCAGTGTGAGGGCAGGAAATTTAAAAGTATCCCTTTAGTTGCCGGTAGCATCATTTGATCCTTAGTTGTAAAACCAGAAATGTCCCCCAGTAATGTCATATGTCTCTTTATGTACAAAATTTCCCTCTGGTCATAAAACACTAGCTTGCTAAGCATGGTGACAGACACTTTGATCATCATCACTAACAGGATCACAAGTTCAAAGTCAGTGTTTCCTACATAATAAAATCCTATATGTACATAATAAAATCCTATATGTACAAATAAATAAACTGGCTTATGTCAACTAGCAAGTGCTATATCATATTGTCTACATCTTTCCTTCATTTAGTATAAACTTGACGTTGTTATTTAGTTCATTATTTAAAGGGCTATATTTGCATTTGTGTTATCTAAAAATAGTCATAGAACCTATTAGTAATAACTTGAGCCAACATGAAATGGCTTATAAAGGCCATTATATTTTTCAAGAAGCACATTTTTTAAAAAGTCAAAGCCAAGCATGATTGTGCAGACCTATAATCTCAGTCCTTGGGAGGAAGAGGGAAGATTAAGAGTTCAAGGCTAGCTTCAGCTACATAGAAAGTTTGAAGCTATTTTGAGCAACATAGAATCTTAAATTAAAAAGAAATAGTTTGGCATAGTGGTGTACATCTGTAATGCCAGAACTGAGTTGGAGGCAAAATGAGTAAAAGCCGACCAGCCTGGGCTGTATGGGTCCTGTGAATGAAAAGGCGGGTCATTGGTGAGATGGCACAGTGGTTAAGGAAAGAGCTTATGCTGCTAACCCTGAGGACCTGAGTTCAGTTCCTGGAACATGCATGTTACAAGGAGAAAACTGACTCAAGTTGTCCTCTGACCTTCACATGTGTGCCATGGCATGTGTGTCCACAGAGGTGCGTGCACATATGAATGAATGAATGTGATTGTTTTTCAACAAATCAAAAATGCTTTATTTTATTCACAGTACTTAATAAGTCTTAGAAATTACTTCAGCCTTAAGGCATGGAAAACATTGTTTAAAAAGAAAGAAAGTTATTCATCACTGTGAATGGCTTCTTTCTTTAAATGCCATTAGGACGATTCTTACTTCATCATCGCTTCTGTGAATTGCTGTTTTCTCCTTCACTTAGAACTTATCACAGCAGATTTTATGACTAGTGTGCATTACATTTATTAAGAATAATTCAGCCGGGCGGTGGTGGCGCACGCCTTTAATCCCAGCACTCGGGAGGCAGAGGCAGGCGGATCTCTGTGAGTTCGAGACCAGCCTGGTCTACAAGAGCTAGTTACAGAACAGGCTCCAAAACCACAGAGAAACCCTGTCTCGAAAAAAAAAAAAAAAAGAATAATTCATGTTTGAAAGGTCAAGCTTAAATTCTGTTTATTTTTTGAGAAGGTGTCTCTGTGGCCTTAGTCCCTTCAGAGGCTCCCCTCTCCCAGATTCCAAACTCTTCTACCTGTTTGATCTCTTCCTTTTTGGCCATGTTAATTAGAGTAAGTTGTGCCCAGTGTCATCCCCCTCTTTAACTTCAGGGAAGGTGTCATGACTGCCCTTTCCCCCAGTGATCTTTCTCTGTGTGCATTTTTTCAAGGGAGGCTTTCTTGTCCAACCATCTCAGTCAGTACCTGTGAATGGAAAATTTCACGAGGCTTTGGTTTGCCTCTGCTGTCTATGCTGGAAACAGTATGGCCTCTAGATCTGATTCTCGACATGCTGGAGATTGCATTCACAAAGAGTTTCCCTACATCATAAGTTTCCATTCGTTCTTTTGATCCTTTTAGTCCTTGATAGCTCTCACATTGACAATAGGCAAAGTAATCGTTCTAAAAGCCAACTTATATGAACAACTCCTTTACGAATTAAATGATTGCTTGTGGACTTAGCTTTTGCTAGCAGAAATTATAATGGTGTATATAAAAGCCAAAGAAACTGTGGAATATAGAGCGTACTTTGATGAAGGCGGTGGGGGCTTCTGCCAAACAAATGCTGAAGCTGACGGAAATATAATTTCACAGTTTCGAGCAGTCTTGCTTCCGTCAGTCGTTACCTCCTACCCTCTGCAAGTGAATATATAGTCAATGTTATTTCAAACATCTGTAAGCCAGGGGGCTGGAGAGATGGCTCAGAGGTTAAGAGCATTGCCTGCTCTTCCAAAGGTCCTGAGTTCAATTCCCAGCAACCACATGGTGGCTCACAACCATCTGTAGTGGGGTCTGGTGCCCTCTGCTGGCCTGCAGGCATACACACAGACAGAATATTGTATACATAATAAATAAATAAATAAATAAATAAATAAATAAATATTTAAAAAAAATCTGTAAGCCAAAGAATAAACTTTAAAAGACACCTAAGTGCCAGATGGCTCAGTGAGTGGGTAGAGGTGTTTGCTACCCAACCTGACAGCTGAGCTCTATCCCTAGGACCTACGTTACGTGGTGGAAGGAGAGAACCAACTCTCCCAGGTTGTCCCCTGACCTCCACACACATACATGAATGTTCACAAATAAAAAACTAAAATATAATAAAAATTAAAAATGAGTAAAAGATGTGTAAACTCCATCATTATGAAATGCTGTCTACAATCTTCATAATGCTATCTTCTTCATAATGTTTTTAGTTTTCTTTTCATTCTTTCATATGGAAACAGCCTCATATTACCTAGGCGGACATTCCTCACCTGGGGTGAATTCTTCTGCCTCAACCCCCACCCTGGAATAGCTGGGTCTGTAGGTGTGCCCAACTGCTTCTGGCTCAGTAACTCTGAGCCTTCCTAATGCTGTGACCCTTTAATACTTTAATACACTTCCTCATTATGGTGCTGATGCCAACCATAAAATTATATTTGCTGCTACTTCATAACTGTAGTTTTGCTACTGCTATGAATCATATTGTAAAGATCTGATATTCAGAATAATTGATATGCAAATCCTGTGAAAGGGTCTTTTGACACCCCTGAAGGGTCGTGACCCACAGGTTGAGAGCTACTGTTTCTCTGCCTGAGTATAACCAGTTTGTTCTTTTGCAAAGGATCTGTGCACCCCTAGTGTTATGTGTACAAATAAACAGATAACATGATTTAATTCTTTGTGTATTTTACGTAGTTATAGAAGGACATTCTACCACAATAAAAAGTTTGCTTTGAGTGGACAACTTAAAATATTTTTATTTTTACTTTCATAGTTTGAATTGATACTGTGGTTACCCTTTTAAAATATGAAAATTTGTTTTTATTTTTGTGAAATGAAACATAAACTGACTTCATTATCGGGTGTTAACATCAATCATTTTGTTTTTTTTTTAAGCCTCTTGTTGCTGTACCACATAGAATCCCTTCAACGAGCAGAAATGTGAGAGAAGAAAAAACCCGCTCAGAGATAAACTGTGAGTACAGACCCTCTGCCATCCTAAGTCAGTGACCAGAAATGAAATTTTTTAAGATTTATTTATTTATTATCTATACAGTGTTCTGCCCACATGTATGCCTGCAGGCCAGAAGAGGGCACCAGATTGCATTACAGATGGTTATGAGCCACCATGTGGTTGCTGGGAATTGAACTCGGGACCTCTGGAAGAGCAGTCAGTGCTCTTAACCTATGAGTCATCTCTCCAGCCCCCAAAATGAGATTTTTAAGCTGTAGCTTAGTTAGAATGTTTTTTCTTTTTTAAGATTTATTTGTTATGTATACAGCGTTTTCCCTGCATATATGCTGCAAACCAGAAGAGGGCACCAGATCTCATTACAGATGGTTGTGAGCCACCATGTGGTTGCTGGGAATTGAACTCAGGACCTCTGGAAGAGCAGTCAGTGCTCTTAACCTCTGAGCCACCTCTCCAGCCCTAGAATATTTTTTTCTTTTAAGTTACCTTTTTAATTTTTTTTTTGTTTTGTTGTTGTTGTCATTGTTTTGGTTTTTTGTTTTGGTTGGTTGGCTGGGTTTTTTGTTTGTTTATTTGTTTTCTTTTTTTTAATATTTTATTTATTTATTATGTATACAATTTTCTGTCTGTGTGTATGCCTGAAGGCCAGAAGAGGGCGCCAGACCTCTTTACAGATGGTTGTGAGCCACCATGTGGTTGCTGGGAATCGAACTCGGGTCCTTTGGAAGAGCAGCCAATGCTCTTAACCACTGAGCCATCTCTCCAGCCCCCTTTTTTTTTTTTTTCTTGACAGGGTTTCCCTGTAGCTTTGGAGTCTGTCCTGGAACTAGCTCTTGTAGACCAGGCTGGCCTTGAACTCAAAGAGATCCACCTGCCTCTGCCTCCTGAGTGCTGGGATTTAAGGCGTAACACTGTTGATATATGTAAAGTTTAATGAGAGCTATATGAATTTTATTTTCTTTACTACCTTAGGAACTTTTGGTGACAAGAAGGGGGATATTTACATTACATTTTGGAAGGAAAAGTAAAACATGGGAACTAGGGAAGGTAAAGGTCACCAAGGGAGTGCCTCTGAGGTACTAGAGAGCTTGTTGGATGCAGCCTGTGCTTCAGTAGATGGAGATAGAGTGGCTCTTCTGGCAAGCTCCCAGCATGTGCCTGTGCCAAAGGCCACACTGTGTGTGAACTAGAGAGATGTCTGCACACCAGCTATGTGATACGGCCACACTGTGTGTGAGCTAGAGAGATGTCTGCACACCAGCTATGTGATACGGCCACACTGTGTGTGAACTAGAGAGATGTCTACACACCAGCTATGTGATACGGCCACACTGTGTGTGAACTAGAGAGATGTCTGCACACCAGCTATGTGATACGGCCACACTGTGTGTGAGCTAGAGAGATGTCTGCACACCAGCTATGTGATACGGCCACACTGTGTGTGAGCTAGAGAGATGTCTGCACACCAGCTATGTGATACGGCCACACTGTGTGTGAGCTAGAGAGATGTCTACACACCAGCTATGTGATACGGCCACACTGTGTGTGAGCTAGAGAGATGTCTGCACACCAGCTATGTGATACGGCCACACTGTGTGTGAGCTAGAGAGATGTCTGCACACCAGCTATGTGATACGGCCACACTGTGTGTGAGCTAGAGAGATGTCTGCACACCAGCTATGTGATACGGCCACACTGTGTGTGAGCTAGAGAGATGTCTGCACACCAGCTATGTGATACGGCCACACTGTGTGTGAACTAGAGAGATGTCTGCACACCAGCTATGTGATACGGCCACACTGTGTGTGAGCTAGAGAGATGTCTGCACACCAGCTATGTGATACGGCCACACTGTGTGTGAGCTAGAGAGATGTCTGCACACCAGCTATGTGATACGGCCACACTGTGTGTGAACTAGAGAGATGTCTGCACACCAGCTATGTGATACGGCCACACTGTGTGTGAGCTAGAGAGATGTCTGCACACCAGCTATGTGATACGGCCACACTGTGTGTGAGCTAGAGAGATGTCTGCACACCAGCTATGTGATACGGCCACACTGTGTGTGAACTAGAGAGATGTCTGCACACCAGCTATGTGATACGGCCACACTGTGTGTGAGCTAGAGAGATGTCTGCACACCAGCTATGTGATACGGCCACACTGTGTGTGAGCTAGAGAGATGTCTGCACACCAGCTATGTGATACGGCCACACTGTGTGTGAACTAGAGAGATGTCTGCACACCAGCTATGTGATACGGCCACACTGTGTGTGAGCTAGAGAGATGTCTGCACACCAGCTATGTGATACCTGACACTTAAAGGTGGCTTCTCAGGCTTCTCCCATCCAGAGCCTGCTTTGAGACTGGTCTCAGATTGGCCCAGGAGTCCACCCACACTGATCTCTTGATCCCTCATTGCTAATTTGCCAATTTGCATCAACAGCCAAACAGATTCTTGCCTACTTTTTTGCCTTTAATAAGTATCATATTCTTATATATTGAGGGAACAGCAGGATTAAAGCTCTACTTTTGGTTATTTGTGGATTTGGTATCTGACTTTTGAGTCTTTCTCTTTGTTTTAATGACTATTTGGGGAATATCTTGGGGTTTCTCCTGGTGTGATAAACATCATGACAAAAAGCAGCTTGGGGCGGAAAGGGTTTATGTCGTGTTCCAACTTGTTAGCCATCATCTAGGGAAGGCACTTGACAGGAGCTCCAGGTAGGGCAGGAGCTGATGTAGAGGCCGTGGAGGAACACTGCTTACTGACTTGCCCCTGTGGCTTGCTCAGCTGTCTTTTTTTAAAGTACCCAGGACATCCAGCCCACAGTGGCACCACCTCAGTAAGCACGACACCTACCACCCCCCATCTTTCATCAGTCAAGAAAATCTTCAGGGGGCTGGAGAGATGGCTCAGAGGTTAAGAGCATTGCCTGCTCTTCCAAAGGTCCTGAGTTCAATTCCCGACAACCACATGGTGGCTCACAACCATCTGTGATGAGGTCTGGTGCCCTCTTCTGGCCTGCAGGCATACACACAGACAGAATATTGTATACATAATAAATAAATATTTAAAAAAAAAAAAGAAAAGAAAATCTTCACAGGCCAGTTTGGTGGGGGCATTTTTTAAATTAAGATTCCCTCCTCTCAGATGACTCTAGCTTATGTCAAGTTGAGAAAAAAATAAAAATAAAAATAAAGCTAGTACAAGGTGTTTCATGATTATATGCAAAATTTGCCATATAGAAGAGTGCTCTGTGATGTTACCTATAAAAATAGGCTTTATAGGTAAAAATTACCTATGAAAAAAGCAGTGATTAAGTATATTTCTTCTTCATAATGTTTTGTTTCCAACTATCTGATATATCTCAGCATGAAATACCAACAGGTGTAAAATTTTCTTCTTTACAGAAAGTTTGTTTGAGTCCCTTTCATTTTTGGAAGCCCCTTTGTCTTCAACTATTGCCTTGTGTACATGCAAGGAAGTGGTAGGAAAAACAGATGCAGCCTTATAGGCAGAGGTCTGGCATTAGTAAGAGCACAGGCAGTATTGCACACCGGGATGGTCAGCAGTCATTTAAACAACAGCTGAAAGAGACTGGCAGAGGCATGTCGTAGTGTTGGGAACTCAGGGAACACAGCATCCGAATAGTGAAGTCAGTGTTAGCTGTGAAGAATGGGTCCCTTTGGAGACTTTTGTCCCCATCCACAGAGTACAGGAACAGAGAGAGATGATGAATGCTATCTTAGTAACTTGCCGAAAGTTACTCTGTGATCTGTGATGTGAGATTGTGTGCAAACTGCGACAAAGGGCCGCTTCTTGAGCAGTCTGCTCCAGACCGTCCTTTGACTTCCGAGCCATTAGCCACTACCAGTGCACACACCCTCACACATAGCTCGGCTGTATAGAACTGTTTCTGCCAGTGCACACATACTCACACACACCCTCACACATAGCTAGGCTGTATAGAACTGTTTCTGCCAGTGCACACACCCTCACACATAGCTAGGCTGTATAGAACTGTTTCTGCCAGTGCACACATCCTCACACATAGCTCAGCTGTATAGAACTGTTTCTCAGCACTTGGAAACTTGTGCCTCTTCTTTAATTTGCATTAATGTCAACAAATTTGAACTGAAAGTCCATGATCTTGAATGGGATGGTGCTTAGCATTTAGTTCAATTTTTTTTTCCGCTCTTGATGGAGCTTATGTTCCTTAGGCAAATGATGTAGAGTAATGGTTAAAACATGTAATAAATATCCCTCCCTACTAATGTGTTACATTTTATTAGCTAGATCAGTATTGCTGTAATTTCTACCCATTAGCATCTCATTGCTGTAAAGTACATAAAAATATTTACATTAACACTGATAAAAATTGCAACAGCATGTATTAAAATATGAATGACATATAATCAGGAAAAAAAGAAAAAAGAAAACTTGTGCCTTCTATTGTCATATATTCAAATCTGTTGATTTTTCTTAATACTAAATATTCACAATTTTTAAAAGGATTTATTTTTATTTTCTATGTATGAGTGTTTACCTGAATGTATGTTAGTCATATATATGCAGTGCCCATGCGGGCCAGAAGAGGGCAATCAGATGTCTCTGGAATTGGAGTTAAATGATCATGAGCCATCATTTGGGTCCTAGAAACCAAACCCAGGTCCTCTGGAAGAGGAACCCATGCTCTTAATGACTAAACCATCTCTCTAGCCCTATGTTTACACTTTACATGTAAAGTTAAAATTAAAAAAAAAAATTATGCTATGAGACCAGTTCTTTCTCTTAACTTTGGTTGACAATATCTGTTTTGACTAGCATCTTTTTAAAAATAATTTATTTAATTTTATTTTATGTACATTAGTGTGACGGTGTCAGATTCCCTAGAACTGGAGTTACAGACAGCCATGAATGGCCATATCAGTGCTAGAATTGAACTCTGGTCCTCTTGAAGAGCAGCCAGTGCTCTTAACGTTTGAGCCATTTCTCCAGCCCCTTGGCTAACATTCTTAATAATTAACTGTTGTATCTTTTCTCCTTTTGGTTTTGTTGTTAGCCCTGGCTGGTCTTGAACCTTCTATGTACCCATGGTGGAATTGATTCTCCTGCCTTAGCCACCGCACAAATCTTTATACTTGTGACTATTTCATCTAAGGGGCCTTCAGTCCTTTACATGGATTTTAAAGCAGAGAGGTCAAAGGGGAAGGTCGTGAAACATGGAGTGCATTAGAGCACCGGAGAGTAGGGGACTGAGTACATTTCAGTTGGCTGAAAATATACATTGTCTCAAAAAGATCTTGAGGGTCAGAAACTGGAACAGTGTGAAGAAACACCATAACCACGCCAACTCTTAGGAAAGAAAGCATTTAACTGGGGGCATGCAGGACACTGGAGCAGCGGCCAAGAGCTACATTCTGATCCTCAGGCTCCCGGAAGAGTGAGAAGTGGGTCTGGCATGGGGTTTTGAAACCTCAGAGCCCACCCCTAGTGACACACTTCGCCCAGCAAGGCCACACCTCCTAACCTTTCTAATCTTTTCAAGTAATTCTACTCCCTGGTGACTTAAGTTTCAAATATATGAGCCTGTAGGGCCCGTTCTTATTCAAACCACTGTATTACGCTGGCTGACACACACCCATAGGCTTGTAGCCATGTAAGAATACAAAAATACTTTCAGTTCAACTTCATAAATCCCAGAAGGCTATCACAGTCTCAACACTGTTTAAAAGGCCAAACTTTCTTTTGAGACTCATGGGAATTTCTTAACCCCCAATAAAATAAAAAAGAAAACAAAGATTTACTTCCAACATAAAATGGCACAGTATATATATTACCATTTCAACGTTGGGGCGGGGGAGCATAATGAGGAAATAGTGGGTCAGAGCAAGACCAAAACCCAGCTGGGCAAACTCCAAACTCCATGTCTGATGTTAGAGTGCTCTTCAGACCTCCAACTCATTTCAGTTCTGTTAACTGCAACACACTTTGTTCTCTTGGGCTGGTTCCATACCCAGTCTTACTTCTTCCAACAAGACCACGCCTACTTCAACAAGGCCACTCCTCTTAATACTGCCGCTCCCTTTGGGGGCCATTTTCTTTCAAATCACCACAACCCCTCCCCTCCGTCAATTCAGTCTGCCTCAGAACTTTATTGTGGTTTCCTTCAGTTTTCTAGCTTTTCTTGAATTCCTTTCACAAGTTGGAAGCTTAGCTGGGTAGGGTCTTGGCCTGAGGTCTTTAGTCCATTTAGCATAAGACTTTTCTTTAGTCTGTTTATTCCTTGAGCACAGTGCTTACTCCATCATACTTCCTAGTGTTTCTTTTCCCTTCTAACTGTGCGTGTTCTATTTTCCTTTGTCTAGCTTATTTTCATTATAGATCTGCGGAAGAGTTATTACTAATAAGCACATGGCAGTCAATAGTAGGTTATCTTACAATCACCTCTGCCAATGCCATTAATCCAGAACTCTTCAATTTAGCCTCAGGCAGATTTTTAGGGTAAGGGCAAAAGGCAGCCATATTCTTTGCCAAGATAGCACAAGAATGGTCTCTGGGGCAATTACTAATATTCTTCCCTTTGAAACTTTCTTGTGCTGGGCCCCTACAGTCCACATCTCCCTCAGCACCACTGTCCCTGTTCCTACTAGGTTGGACCTATAAACCCCATTTAAAGCATTCAAGCTTTTTCAGTCCAAGGTCACACCTCCTACCCCTTCTAATCTTTTCAAATAGTTCCATTCCCTGGTGACTTAAGTATTCAAATATGTGAGCCTGTAGGGCCCATTCACAAAATACCCCAGTCCCTGTTACCAACTTCTGTTTTAGTCACTGTTCATTGCTGTGAAGAGACACCATGACCATGTTAACTCATAGAAAAGGAAGCAGACAGAGGGTCAGTCTGTCGTCATGGCAGGGAGCATGGCACTGGAGCAGTAGCCAAGATCTACTTTCTGATCTGCAGGCAGAGAGAGAGAGCCTGGGTCTGGCATGGGCTTTTGAAACCTCAAAGCCCACTCACTCCCAATGACACACTTCCTCCAACAAGGCCACCTTGTAATCCTTGGAATGCTTTCAAACAGTTTCATTCCCTGGTGGCTCAGCATTGGGGCCAGTTTTCTTTAAACCACCAGAGCCTGGTGAGTATTTGTGGCTCAGAGCCTCTGCTGACATACCTGTCAGGATGTTACCCCTAACTGTGATCATAGAAGGCTTGGCTAGGCTAGATGGTTGCTTCTGTCCTCACATGACTGTTAGCTAAAGGCCCTCACAAAGGGCTTTCCTCCAAACTAGCTGATGCATTGGAAAGACAGAACCTTACCTTGAAGGTCACCCTTCAGGTTCTGCACGTTTGCTTTGTCATCCCCACAAACTCTGCTCTAGTATAGGAGAGGACTGCAGGCAGTCTTCAAGGTTAGGACCAGAAGTCACTCCCACGCCAACTGATTTCTACCCTCCCAATCCCCAAATGCCAAGTAAAAGGTCTCTTATGCTAGACCATCACACATGAGTAAGTTAGATCCAGATTTCAGCATGTCATTTTGCTTGTTACTTTTTTTACTGTAGAAAATGCCTAGTGGGCCACGGATAAAACTCAGCACAGAGCAATTGCCTATTATGAACAAGGCCCTGGTTCAACCCCCAGTAATGCCGTATTAATTAATTAATTAAAATGTCACATCACTTAATATTTACAGGAAGTTCCTGTGTTCAAGGCTAGCATGGAATAAAATAATAAGACCCTGTCTCAAAACAAACAAAAACAGGGAAGAAAACATCCCATATCCTGACATGACTTCTTTTTCTTCGCAGTTGGCCAGGTAAAATTTGATCCTCCCTTACGGAAGGAAACAGAGCCACATCACGAACTTGTAAGTACCCTGGTCTTGGTATGTTAACCTCTGAACATAAATCTTAAATTTCCCTTTGTGATACGTTGGTACTGAGTAGCTAGTTCAAAAGTTTTTGGAGAAAAAAATTGTAATTCGAAATACTGAATAAATAAATCTGTGTTGCTGAAATTGAGTATTTTCAAAATTATTTGAAGAGATAAGTTTTACCATTCTCTGATCAAGTGTTTTAAATGCTGGTCTTTTACTTATTTTTTTAAATTGTGTTTGGTTTTGAGGGGCTTTTTTTCTTTCTTTCTTTTTTCTTTTTGTATTTGTTAGGAAAAGTGCCATGGTCTCTAGACATCCAGCAATCCAGCAGAGCTGACCTGGCATATTCAGAGTGCTAATGCTCAGAGCAGGCATGGAGAATAGATCGTTTGTCTGTAGCACACGCAGCTTGTCAACATGTAAAGGCTCAGAGGCTGCCATGGGGGTGCAGTCTTGGAGGCAGAGTGCTGTGCAAATATTTGAGTAGTTAATACTTTATAGAAGAATGAAAGTTGACCTTAAAAAATAATCCTAATAAAATTGCTTTGCCAAGACTGCAGATCGTTAGTATGGTGGGATTTTTCTTTCCCATTTAATATGTTAGAAGAAAATAGTAGCTACTAATACCAAAGACTGCTACAGTAAGAGCTTTTCTTCTGAAACTGAATGCGTATCCTCACCCCTGGACTGCGCAAAGGAAGACACTAGCCTTTGTCTTGTGATTTTATTGTAAGAAGGAGCCTGCTAAAATCCTAAAATGATCATATTTTAACATTAAAGCCTGCCATTCATGGAGAAGGATAGGGACAGTTAAGAATTAAGGCAGTCATAATGTTTATGAATGCTAATTGTGTTTTGTTAAGGCAGCCTGAGCAGGTCTGCACTAACAGAATGACTGTGTGATTAGGCAGTTTGTATGCTGTTTGTATGCCACTTGCCATCATTTGATTTTGGATTTGCCTTAGTAAAATTGTGTTAGCAGGACCCATCTCCCTTGTGAGTGTGTGCTTGTCTGTCTAAGTGTCAATAACCTGGGTTTCTTGGTCTCTGCTAAACAGCCCGACAGTGATGGTTTTTTCGACAGCTCAGAAGAAATATACTACACTGCAAGATCTAATCTGGTATTTCTCATCTTCCGATTGTTTGTCAGCATTGTTTTAGTCTTAACTCTTCTAAGCTCAGACATTTGCTCCATTTTTATTGTTTTATAAACTAAGGCTTGTCATTTAGCAAGCCTCCATATATAAAAAGAATGTAGTCACTTTTTCCCATGACAAGTCAGATCTACTCAAGTGTAGAATAGCAGTAGTAAACATTTTTTTCTTTTATGAAAAAACATTAGTATCTAAATTTCTTACACACATGTGAAGGGTTTTTTTAGAAATGACATTTCCTTGTAAAAATGTTCAATTTTATATCTTGTTTCAATGAATGATAAACCATTTATATATATACATTCATATATATAACTTGATACCATGTATAAATGGCATTATATGTTATATAATATATATTACTATACTGTATATATTATATTTATTGCATGCATTGTATGTAACTTGAACAAGTAATTTATTCCTATGTCAACTGTAAAGTCAGATGAAATTCTGAACTTGTTAGCATTATACTATGTCTACTTTTTGGATGAAAGATCTGGATTGTACAGCATCCCTGAAGTTGTATTTATTAAGACTATCTTCCAATTTCATAGGAAAACTTCACCTAGTAAATATTAGATAACTCATGCTTTCTAAAACATTGCTTAGTAGTTCCTTCTATTCATATGGTTGGCCAAAACCCCAAGTTACCCCAACATCAATTCTCAGATTCTGCTTTTCTGCCCCTCAAATGAGATTTTCTTTCTCTTCCTCTCTAACTTGATTGGATACCTTTTTGAGTCCTGGTTAGTCTAAATATTTATATAAGTGCTGAAATTCATGTCTTAAAATATTTATGAAACAAAAGATTTTAAACATTCTTTTAGAGAGATAAGTTGCTATCTTACTAGATAAATCAGTACTTCCTACTTAGATACTTTTTTGTTTTGTTTTGTTTTTGAGACAGGATTTCTCTGTGTAGCCTTAACTGTCCTGGAATTTGCTCCCTAGACAAGGCTGACCTTGAACTCAGAGAGATCCACCTGTCTCTGCCTCCCGAGTGCTGGAGACTGAGGCAGGAAGAGAACTGAGTTCAAGGCCAGCCTGAGCTGCAAAACAGCCTGAGTCCTAGGGCAGCCTCAAACTCATAGTGAGACCCTGTGATGAAGAAAAATATAGAAACTGGTTATTGCACAGAAGCAGCATTGGAGGTAGGGAGGAGGCTACGGAAAGCCACGTGATTGAGCAGATGTATGACTCCAAAGCAAGAGGCCTGTTTCAAATGGTTTCCTAAAGTAAAAAGAGCGGGGTTTCAGTGTTAACCACTGAAGGCCTGGGTGAAATAGAAAATCTAAAGGAAAGAGTCATTTCCGGATTGTCATTTTCTTCAGGATTAGATATTCAGGTGAGAATGGCAATTGGTGAATGTTGCAGAGTAAATAGGTCACAGACTCAGAAGTTGAAGTCAACCCCACTGTTTACTAATATCCTCCATGCAGAATGGGTGACAGCAAGAGCAGAAATATTGACATTAGGACTAGAAACATTCGTGACCACCTGTAGCCAGCCCCCAAACCTGACAGAGTTGCCATATACCTTGCTCCTCTCCTTAGATCTCCTGAGGCATTCGCTCTATCCCCGTCCTGGAGTCAGGAGCATCTTGTGATACAGGGGAGCAGTCTGAGGAATCTGTGAGAGAGGAGGACGTTAGGGGCCTTTAACCTATCGATAGCTCTGAAAGGACAAATGAGATGCTACAGTTCATAAAAATCAGCTGTAAAAGCTCATTCCTAGTGGTAACAAAACTGACGTTTATGTTGACAGTTTTACATGTTGTGTGGTATTCTAAACACTGAGTATGGTGTTTTCGTCAACAACAGAGAACATATATCTAATAGTGACCCCATGATTATATCACCTACTGATGCCATAATCATCTTGGCACTCAAGATTGTTTATTAACTTATTTTCCTTGTTTTACAACTGTAGCCTTCAAGATGCAGAGGAACTGAATGTTGTCCTTGTTCATTGGCTAAGCATAACAGCTGGGGCTAGTGGCCTCAGCCCCTGTGCTGTGATAGCTTCTGCCCATCATCTCGGGTTGCTTGCATGTTGTTTTGCTTTCCTTTGAAGAAATGGGTTCTCCTTTCCCTCAATATACATATCCCATAGTTTCTCTTTTAAAAAAAACTGGTAAAACACACATAGTATAAAACTCCTATTTTGGTCTTTTTTTTTTTTTTTTTTTTTTTTTTTTTTTTTTTTTTTTTGGTTTTTCGAGACAGGGTTTCTCTGTGGTTTTGGAGCCTGTCCTGGCACTAGCTCTTGTAGACCAGGCTGGTCTCGAACTCACAGAGATCCGCCTGCCTCTGCCTCCCGAGTGCTGGGATTAAAGGCGTGCGCCACCACCGCCCAGCCTATTTTGATCTTTTTTAAAGTACATCCCAGACTCACTGCACACCGTTCATCTCCAGCACATTTCATCCTCCCAAACTGAACTTCCATGCACTTCCCTCTCACTAGTCCCAGTGACTAACAGTCTGTTTTTCTTTATAGAGGTGACTATTTTAGAGACTCTGCATGAGTGTAATCCAAACTGGCTCACATCACTCAACACAGTGTTCAAGTATCTGCAAGGTTCCCTCATATTTCATATGTCAGAATTTTTTTCATCATACTGAAAAAGTAGTCTATTTATGTAAATGGCACATTTTACTTATTTCTTCATCTATTGGTGGGCATTTTGGCATTATTTTTTGGCTACTGTGAATAATGCAACTAAGACCACAGACCACAGATCTGCAAATATAGGTTTGATCTCTGCTGTTATGTACACAGAAGTGGAATTGCTGGAATGAATGGCGAATCTGTCTTTAAATGTTTTAGAAGCTGCTGTGTGTGTGCACCACACCTGTGGACAAGGGGCACTGCCATCACTTCTTCATTTTGTTTTTCTTTTCTTCTCTTTTCCCCCCTGGTAATAGTCCTCCAAGCCAGTGTGAGGAATCCATCCACCTCAGCTCTCATAAGTGTTCATTGCAACAATGTTGGCACATGCCTGTACTCACAGCAGTGGGAGGTGGAGGCAGGAGGACCATCAGGAGTTCCATGCCCTCCTTAGGGACACAAAGCTTTCAGAGCCAGCCTGGGTTATATGAGACTTTGTCTCAAAAAATGGAAAACTTGTTGCTACCCACTAAATACCCAATGAACCCAGAATGTCTGGCTCTCCTCTTAATGGGCAGCTGACACCAAGATGGCAACATGGGATTTGGGGAACCCCAAAAGAGGTGCTTTTACCTTGCTGTGTAAACAGGCAAGTTACCAGCTATTTCTAAGTTCTGAGAATATTCACTTTAGGATTTTGTAAATGAATTTCGAATATCATAACCTCAATTTTTGTTGCTACCCAAGAGTAATTTTTAAAGCACCAGAGCTTTCTGTAACAGAAGAATGGAATTTCAGGTTCGGGGCCTCCCACATTTTAAGTCTGGGTTTTGAAAACTGCTGGCGTTACTGAAAGTCATAGAAGCAATAATTGAATAGTAAGTAAGAATTTTGCCCACAGTCATAAAAATGGGTCTGTTTGATCTACAAAATAATATCGAGATTAAAAGATTATGTTTCAAATCTGTCACAGCTGATGCTATTTATTTAAATATGCTTAATTTTACTCACTAATTTTTGATAACTCATTGGAAACTAATAAAATCTTTTTTTTAATTATTTTTCAAGACAGGATTTCTCTGTAGCTTTGGAACCTGTTGCTGGCTTCTGGCACACAGAGATCGACCTGCCTCTGCCCCCCTGAGTGCTGGGATTTAAAGCGTGTGCCATCACCACCCGGCTCATATTTTTGGTTTTTGAGGCTATCTGTTTGCTTATTATTTTGTTCGTTTTTATTTTGTTTTGAGATAAGACCTCTCTATATAGAGTTAGTCTAGTATCGAACTCAAGATGCAACTGCCTCCACCTCCCAAGTGCTCAGATTATAGGCGTGTACCACCGTGCCCCGCTAAGATCCCATGCTAACTGTTAGGGAGGCATAAGGAAGAATAATCTAACCCACCACCTTTCTAAGATGCAGTACGAAATTCATGTTCTTCAGATATGACCCCTCAGTCTTCATCGGCTGGTGGGGATCAGTCTTCATACCGTGTTCCAACTCAGCCTGCTTCTCTGACTTTAAAATGAACTTGTTTTGTATTATCTTGGATTCATTCCCAGCTGATTTCTTCACATCATCTTCCATATTAAAAAGGATTTTACTAACCATTCTTACTCCTGACATAATTTTCTCTGTCTCTCGTTTTTATCAAGAAAAATATTCTCTCCTGCTCTTTTTCTTGGTTAGGGTGTGTGTGTGTGTCCAACTGTCTCAGTTCTGTTGACTTCCTGCTGTTTTCTCATCTGGTATAGACTGTAGTCTCCCAAGGTGACATAACATAGAAAGCTACAGTAAGACTTTCCGGGGTATGTGTGTCCTCCCTCTCCAGCATCGCACTGTGAGGGCTTTGGCCTTTCTTAGCTCTTTTCTGTTTTCTTAGAATTTCCTCCCTAGACTTTCCTGCCCCTCAGTGAAAGGAACCCCTGAAGTTAGGACTTTTCTCTCTTAAAGCTTTTTAGTATGTACTAGGGTTACTGTCTCAACTGTTGTTTGAGTCCCCAGGCTGAATCTCTTCTAAGTTATTGCATGTTTTCAGTGTTTTTACATTAACATGTTGTTACTGCTTTGACATTACTGTGTAATTAAGCATGATCACTCATTAATTGTTCAATGCTGCTTTTTTCCCCTGATGTTTGCATCCTCAAGGGCATTCTGACTCTGATGCCACTATCTTGGTTCTTTTGAGCTCTTTCCAAACATAATTTTGGTAGCATTTTTCTGATGACTTCCAAATCCTTTTCGTTAAAATGTGTTATTACTGTGTGGTGCATGATGTATGCATGTGTGGGGTCACTCCATGTTGAGGGGAGAGGTCAGAGGACAGCCTTCAGGCATTCTTTCTCCCCTGCAACCATATTGGTTCTGGGGTCACTCCATGTTGAGGGAGAGGTCAGAGGACAGCCTTTCAGGCATTCTTTCTCCCCTGCAACCATATTGGTTCTGGGGTCACTCCATGTTGAGGGGAGAGGTCAGAGGACAGCCTTCAGGTATTATTTCTCCCCTGCAACCATATTGGTTCTGGGGTTTAAACTCAGGTAGACAGGCTTGGTGTCAGGAATCTTTACCCACTGAGCCATCTTGATTATAGTGTAACTTGATTTCAGGAGAGAAATAATAAATGAGGAAGAGCCCCTTTCAGTTTTAGCTTTCCTTATGGACCAGAGACTTAGGTGTACCTACAACTTGCATGCTCCTTTGGCCTGGCTATATATGAGTCTATGTTTGATTTTCTATTAAAATATCTCTTGTTATTTTAAATAATTCTCTTTACCTTAAATATACTCTTGACCTTGATTGACTTTCATTTCCTGGTCATTATTGTCAATCTGCTATTGATTGTCATCTCTCAGCTAAGTGGACATTCCTACATATCAACAGAAGACATCCTCCACCATACACGTGTATGCTTATGAAGAGATCGTCCACCATACACATGTGTGTGCTTGTGAAGACAATGTCTACCATACACATGTGTGCTTGTGAAGACAACATCCACCATACATATGTGTGCTTGTGAAGACAACATCCACCATACATATGTGTGCTTGTGAAGACAACATCCACCATACATATGTGTGCTTGTGAAGACAACATCCACCATACACATGTGTGTGTGCTTGTGAAGACAATATCCACCATACACACATGTGTGCTTGTGAAGACTTCATCCTCTCTGCACATATGTGTGCTTGTGAAGAGATCCTCCACCATACACACGTGTGCTTGTGAAGACAACATCCACCATACACGTGTGTGCTTGTGAAGACAATGTTCACCATACACACATGTATGCTTGTGAAGACTTCATCCTCTTCTATACATATGTGTGCTTGTGAAGACATCGTCTACTCTGCACATAAGTGTGCTTATGAAGCTGCTGTTTAAGTAAAAGTCTATGAGATTCTATTGGCTAAAGCTGTTGCTGCTCTGGTTAGAGGGTTTGTTCATCTGTACCTGATGACAGTAGGCTTGAACTTAAGAAGCATTCATAGATTTAAATACTTTATTAGCTGAATTCCAGTGCATAAAGTAAAAAGTCACGGCCGCTAAAACTGGACAGTGAAATAATAGCTGCGGGCTTGTGACTTGGTGATTTGGTCATTTTTAGGTTTATTGTAAGTTAAGGAAAACATGTATTCTTTTTCATTTATGATGTGTTATCTTTGCTGTCATTGGTAAGAACAGTTACTATATGCACGACTGAACACAAATATTAAAAGAGGACAAAATTTGAACCTTATCAAAATCAGTATTTTGATTTTTTGGACAGACCTTGAAGTTAATGTTAAAGTACAGTGTGCTGTGGGGAATTGTGCTCTAATCTTAGACTTCTAGACTTGAGATGTTTATGATTCTGAGTATCTGTACCCTGGGAAGTGTTTGCCTGTTTCCAGGAAACAAAAGAGGTAGCATTTGAACAAATGTTTACTACTCAGAGTACAGTTTGTGTGTGAGGTGCTGTGTTAGACCATGGCCGAAAGGAAGGCAGACAGATTTGGCCTTTTCCCCTGTGTTTGAGGAGTTCATGGCCTGGATTGCTGTACAAGACTTGGAGACATTAACATCCAAGAGAAGTGCTGAGCTCTATGTGGGAAACTCTGGAGACCTTAGCGCCATCTCTGGCCTTGGAAGATTATCCCAAGGTGACCGCTCCCGTCACACATTTGTTGTCACTTTGAAAGAAGATTCCTTGTATCAGTGATTGGAGACAGTGGCTTCTTTAAGAGAGGAAGGCAGCTTGGTTCTTGCTAAGGTTGTTGGATGGCGTTGTGGTGGAGCCATTGCTCATTCTTCTGGCTTTTCATTCTTAGCTCTCTGTGACCTGCAGCATTGAGTCAAATGCTTAAGTAGGAAAGAAGCTCTCTGTATTTATTCATCTTAAACTTTGCTGTTTTAACTTTAAACCCTTCTAAACCTCCTTCAGTGCAGTTTCCAGACTCATACCTGACTTCTGCAGTAGTGCCCACCTTTATGAGCGTGCAGCATCAACCACCTGCATGAAGCAGCAGTAGCATATGAATGTGTATATATACACGGTCATTCAGATGCCACAGGCAAAGTCAAACCAAGACATTTCATGTTGCTTTTTTTTTTTGCTTCATTGTATCTTGATAGTACTTTATTTGAGCTTTTTTCTTACAAGCTGAGTTTTACAAATACTAATTACAATAACAATAGCCACAAATAAAACTTGTAGCAGCCATTTGGAAAAAAAGATCCTAGAAAAATATTTGAATAATGAAAAATCAGGATACAGACTTTTATCTTGTATTGTTGAAAGTGCCACCATGCCTTCTTTTTAAGAGTGTATAGCAATACAGATTTATTTGGGGCTTGGGGCTTTTCTTTTTTAAATAGTATGTATTATAGTTTGTAGCAACTGCTCTACTGCTGTGCTCAATGTTCTGCTTTATGCCTTCAGGATCTACAGTTAGAGTACGGACAAGGACACCAAAGTAGTTACTTTTTAGGTGGAAACAAGTAAGTAAGTTCTTTTAAAATTTAAATTCAAAGTAATTGTCTCTAATATTATTTTATATTTAATTCTTAAGGTAGTAGGTTGTATTGAGTTGGTAGATGCTGAGCATTGTGCCCTTGACTTTCCCATAGTCTCTCTGCTATTCATCTGTACTTAGTAATTGTCATGTGGGAGGATCAGCGCAAATGTTTTCTCTTAACCTAATCTTTCTTGTTACAATATACTTCAGCTATAATGAATCTGCATTTCCGCAGTTGATTTCTTTCTAAAGTTGACCTGTTTGCCTCTATAAAAGTAACTTAGTGCATCTCCCAGATGTGCTGACCACTGCAAACAGCTGAATTATTCATACTGCTTAGAAATCCTCATCCTAAGTTTAGCTGTGATGGTCTTCTAAAGAACACTAGCAATAAAAATAGATAAAACTCCTAAAAGTTATTTGACATGAGAAATAAATTTACCAGCTAGTAATGCCTACTCCATACCTGGCACCGTCTAGGTGCTGAGAGCATTGTTGACTTACACTGTTTACAGACTTCTGCAAGTTCATCATAAGGTGGAGTTTAGAACCCAAGGACAAGACTGCCCTCCTACCTTCATATTTCCTGATTTCATATATGAATGTTCACTCCATAAGCCTATTTGTAAGGAAGTAATTAAATTACCAGAGAAGTCTGAGGATGAATATACATTAAAATTTTAGTCTTGATTACACCAGAGAGCTGAAGCATCTGTTCCCATACTCTAAGCAGTTGAGAAATAATGGTTACTGACAGATACCTTAGTTTGATGGGTAGTACTGAAAATCATGTCTTTCTCCTTTTACTATAATCTGTTGTGTGGGAGATATTTGCCCAGGCACAAAAGGGCCTGGGGCCGAATAGGCCCTTGCAAAACTGGGCTAAACCTTCTATCTGAACATGCAGTATGTAACTTCTTCAAGTTGAGCCAACCTAGGTCTGCCGAGGGGCCTCAGCAACAGCTGCTGTGACATGAGACAAGATGACCTGAACCAGTCTCCAGCAGCTTCGAGAGACCCTGATGCCAGTGCTGCTGCTTCCCCTCCCTGGGTGTGTGGGAGGTATATAAGGCTTTCCCCTTCCTAAAACAAATGGAGCTTGTCTCCCAGGGTCTGCACCTTTGACTCTGTGCCAACTTTACCCCCTCCTCCAAGGGGAAGTTCAGTGGGACAGAGCAATAGATCCCACGTAACACCAGTACTTCATTTTCCCACCTCAGTACACTTTCCAGTACAGAAAAAAAGGCTTTGAATGAAAAGCTAAAGAAATACGCTGTTTTGTTTAATGTAAATTTCAATTAAATTTAAAGTATTAGGAGTTGGACATTATTAGCCTCTGTCTTTCTATTTCTTTTATCTTTTGTTGTTTGTTTATTCACGTATCTGTTTTTAGGTAAGGTCTCACTATGTAGTTCCAGCTGGCCTCAAACTTGCAGAGATCATCCTTACCTCTGCGTCCAGAGTACTGGGACGTGCATCATCCAGTAGAGCCTCTGTCTTCCTTAAAGTGGAAGACAAGCATAAAATTCCCTTGGTATATATATATATATATATATATATATATATATATATATATATATATATATATAGTTTTACCTAAACTGTAATTGCTCTTAAGTTGTCCTGGTTTTAGTGGATAGCAAAGAATAGATTATGTGTCATTGTGGGGTAGTAAATTTAAAAAATTAATTAAATTTTTTTCTAATTATATCATTGATTTTTAAGGACCCGGTACAACCAAATTCATGTACCTAAAGAGGCTAAATAATTTGGTGACTATATATCTCTTACCCTTCCATTTTAAATGAACATGCTAACAAAATGCAAAGTAATACAGCCATAAATCCTTTTCCAGATTTCCTAGTTCCCATTCTCTGATTTTGTTTTTTATTGCTAGACATTTTCTTAGTGTGTATAGCTACTTTGGCTAGGTAAAACATTAATAATTTGCCCACCCTTCATTTTCTGATGAATTGGATCCCTGCTTAAGGAACTGTATTCTATATAACGAGTCATTGGCAAGGTAGGTTGGCCGAAAGTCTTAGCCTGGCTGTGTTTCGTGTGTAGGTGTATACATACATGTGACATGAGCATGGTTGTAGCACTTCTCTTACTGTATTGACAAGGCTGCTATATTCTTGCAACTAGGCAGTACTTTGAAAATCAAGATCTCCTGCTTTTTCCAAAGAGGATCAGTTAGGTTTGTTAAATGGATTTTGCTTTCTGTAACACAAGGCACATACTATAAACTATGACTTCAACCCAGACAACACCTTTTCTTTTGAATTCTGGTGTAACTGGGGTCACTTCTTCTGAGGTTTTTGTTTTTATCAAAGCAGTTCTTTTTAAAAGAACCAGACTGTCTGGTTTTGCTTGTAGTGTAGAGCAGAGTTGTAAAGATTACTGTCTTTGGATAGGAGTAAAGCATGGGTCGAATTGCAGTTCCCCCCACAGAATACCATAGTAGCCAATACCATCCATGCCCAGCCTGCATCAGCTCTTCCTGTGAGCTCTCGACTACCATTGTCTCTGGTAAAGTGAGGGTTATAATGGTACCCGCCTCTTTGCTAAGGGAGAAATAAATAACCACGGGGCTTAGTGGGCACTTACTAATTGTCTTTATGTGTAAGTAGTTACTGAGTAATTGTCAGTTATGTTAGGGCGTAGATAAAGCCGCTGTTCTGGTTTAGAGGAATAACGAGTTTCTTGCTTTTAAATGCAGTCAGGGAAGTGCGTACACAGGTTGTATGTGCAGCCTGGCAACTGTATAAGACTGGTCACAAGCCGCATGACCCCTTCGCTCATTCGGATGTGCTGAATGCTTGAAGGCAGTTTCAGACTTTTCCCGCCTCGGTTTCCCTGCCTTGTCACTTAACTCTGCATTCATACATTGCTCCAATTTAGATTTTTTCATCAAATTTTCCATCATTTCAATAGTAATTCAACTAGTTCTATTAGCAAAAAATCCCTTCATAGCCAAGTTTCAGATAGCGTTGTTCTTGTGCGGCACAGAGCCTGAGTAACTCGGGGTCATGTGTTCTCCAGTGCTCTCGGCTGCAGGTGCTGTTGTGGATCCCTCAACAAACTGAGCTGTATCTCATTTTCTCTGTCGTAAAGGCACAAAGTCATCCACATGCCCTTTATGTGACTTGATGGAATGTATAACTTGTCAGCAAACTACTTAATCCATAGTAAGAGACCTGGAGCTGCATGAGTAGAAGCCATGGGTGTTGTTAGAGAACTTCTGGTAAGAGCCTCACTTGAGATCAGAGTGTCAGAGCTGGGTTCACCTCAGTCAGTAGGGTGCCTGTTGGCCTGCAGAGCCCTCGGGGCATCCCCAGCACCACACACAAAACCCAAAAACTTATGTGCTGGTTCACACCTGTTTACTCAGCACTCAGGAAGTGTAGGTAGGATCAGAAACTCAAGGCTATCTTTAGCTACATAGCAAGTTTGAGGCCAGAAACTACAGCCTGGACTACAGAAAGAATCTCCCCACACACTCACACAAACACACAAAGCCCAATAGCCATGTGAATCCCGTTGGCTGTGGTAACAGAACGTGAAACTTTATGTAAACTATCTTCCTAACTATTTTTAAATCCTGATGCCTAAAGAAAACACTGCCACATGCTCAGAAAAAGTATTTTTACTTGCTTGTTTATGACTGCCTGTTCACTTTGTGACCCAGGCCACTGATAGGATAGTAGACATTCGCTGCCACACTAGCTTCCTATTTTCTGGGGTGATAAGAAAGCCCATCATACCCAGAGAGACCAGTCTTAACTTGGGAAGGCTGCACTACTCAAATGTTTTTGGTCTAGGGTCCTTTGAAGCATCACCATGCTGAGGACTTCCTGTTGCTTGTGTAGTGTTTTAGTATGGAAAATTAAAGGATTTCCCAAAAATATTTGTTTTCAAATAATATATATTAATACTTAATAAAATACATCTTTTGTGCAGTTTGAAGTCCTCCCCCTAAAGGGTCAGCTCAAATGCCTCCACTTGAGCTTCTTCCCGACAGCACGATGGTGGTTCTCACGTGACTTGACCGGAGCCAGTAGCCACCTTTGCGGCCCAGGAAAACTGCTGGGCAGTAGCAGGCAGTATTCTTATGAAAAGAGCTATTTTCCCTTGACCAAGTAATAATTGTAAAGAAATGGCATTGTTTTCTTTTTTTTCATATTTCCTTCACACTACAAGAAGATAGCTGAGTTTTCATGACTTCTACTTCATGTAATCTGTTATATCACATATCCAGTAGTTTCTAGAAAGCAGCCGCAGAAATAAGAGTTGAAAAGGTCTTGCAGATCCTCCTGTAGGAGGCAGGCTTCTCCAGGATCTAATGTGGGCAAGTGTTTCTCAAAGGTCCCCCTTCCCATATCCAGCTGTTTCTTCTTCACGTACTTTCTGTGCTAGTGTGATTCCCATTTTACTTATGAGGAACTGAAGCGTACCCATTCAAACTGAAGTCACTTCTCCAAGGCCATGGGGCCTGCAGAGATGCCAGCTTTGCCCTCCTTTGCCACAAGCGCCTGCTGCTTAGAGCTGGTCCTGGAAGAGCTTCGCAGTCAACAGGATAGTGAACTACCACACCACACCTCGGTTTTTTCTTTCTAGGGATGGTAGAAATTGGTTTATTGTTTTTCTGTGTCGTTTGCCATTCCAGATTCATAACTGGTCATTTTGAAAACTTATCAGTCTAGCCTGCTTAGAGTGCTTGATGGATAAGACAGTTCCGTTCATTGCTACAGTAGACGACAGCTAACCGGGCCTCTGGGTTTCGTGCTGTGATAATTCCAAGAAAACTGAGGTGCTTCTTACAGGGTTTATGGAGAATACATCTCTCCTAGTGATTGCAGCAGCCTGGAGAAGGTTGTGCTTCCTGAATTGCCCATGTTCAGGATCACCCCAAATCTCTCACATTCTTGAAAATTCAAGCCTTTTTTTAAAAACATCGTTCCTAATGATAAAACCCTCAGAGGTGGTCTGACACAGCCTTAGTTTGCGTAAATGCAAATGTGTTTGCCTGTGCACCCTCGAGAGCAGTCCTCACATGGGTGAGTGTCCTCCGTGAAAACAGACTGCTGCTACTTTCTTGTGTTCACAGCACACGCGTGCATGCTTCTGCAGAAAGCCAATATGCTGAGCTCTATTGTGCAGGATTGCCTGAGAGCATGAGTCTGCCAAAATGTGTCACCCTCCTTATTTTAAGAAAGAGAAAATATCATTTCTGGTGTCAAGTGTAATATTCTAAGTAGAATTTGAGTCCTGGAAATCCCTGGCTCTGAGCCTGCAATTGTTTCGTCAGTTTGTTGTGGCATTTCATGCTGCGTTGTCTCCTGTTTGAATCAGTAATTTTCAGTCAGTATTAGAACTTACTTATGTTCACTTAAGATACATTTTTAAGGCATTAGCAACAAAAAAATATAGAGCTATCTCATTAAAACAAGCTTTGTGGCTTAGAAATGCTCAGTGTGGCCAATGTATTCAGGACACATAGACGGGATAATAGAAGTGGCAGCACGTGGACCATTTTACTCATGCTCCTTCTTGCTTGTGTCTTTTAAGGAGTCTTCTAAAGTCTGTTGAAGAAGAATTACATCAGCGGTAATTACAACTTTTATTTAAGCTTGAAGTACTTTATTTATGTCATAGATGAGCTAAATCGTTTTCCCCTTCTCTGTCATGTGTGGCTTGTTAGTTTTAGTTGTCCGTCTGTCTGCAGTCAGCCCTCCTGCCTCTCTAGCTGCTCCGGGGAGGCTCACCATCTAATGGTGCTATCTGTTCTCCTTAGCGGACATGTGGCTCACTTAGAGGATGATGACGGAGATGATGATGACTCTAAACAGTAAGTTCTCTTGCTCTTCTTGGTAAAAAGAAAGGATCTCATATGGCCTGTGTCAGTTCTAGCAGCTTAATATTAATGATAATTCTAACGTAAGTTGTACCTCAGTCTCTGTGCCATTGTTGATCTGCTCCGCTTGGACTGCTCTCCTTCAGATTGGGATAACAAAAATGCCTTATGCTGGGCGGGTTGGACAGAAACGTAATCTCCCAGGTCTCAAGGCTAGAAAATTCAGGTTCTCGGTGCTAGCCTATTTGATGGCCTATTTGGTGTCTGATGGTTTCCTCTATTTAGCTGTGCACCTACCAACCCCGACCTTGGCTTTTGAGACAGAGTCTCTTGTAGTCCAGGTTGGCCGAGAATGTGCTATATACATGTGAATGACCTTGAACTCATCAAGTTCCTACCTCCATCTGTGTGGCCTTTCCTTGATGTGTGTACGTAGTGGGGCAAAGGGCAGTTAATTTTTCTTAATCTCATTCCTATCAAACCTATAGCTTCATTTAACCTTAATGACCTCCTTAAAAAGCCCTGTCTTTATGTGTATTACACTGAGAATTCTCTCATCAGTCTGTGAATTTAAGGAGAGTAAAGTCAATCTATAATAGTAATCAAAGAATAGAATTGGGAAAAATCCCAAATTGCCTATCAGTCAGGCCTCTGGGTATACGTGTAGTGGGTTATCTTGAATAGATTAGTTAATGTGAGAATACCCCTCTTAACTGTGGGTGGGGCTATTTCCAAGTAAGAGGACCCCAGACTATGTAAAATGGAGAAAGCCAGCTGAGCACTGACTGAATTCTGATGTGACCAGCAGTTCATGCCGTCTTGACTCTGCCGTGAAGGACCACATGTTGAACCGTAGCTGGAATAAGCCCTTTGTCAGAATTGTTAACACCACAGCAGGGGAGACCTAGACACATCGTGTGCTGCACTTTATGCTCTTACCATTTCCCTAGCCCAATTGCTGCTCGTATCCTTATTTACCTTTTGATTGAAATAGAATTGTGGATGTCTTTCCACTTTGGATCACTCTCAGCATTTGAAACCAAGAAGATGAACATTTACCTACTTCTAAATGTTTATTTCAATAGAATTTGGACGTTTTACAAAATATCTTAGAAAAAAATCTCATGAAGCCAGGAAATAATATTTGTCTCTGAAGGCTTTTCTTCTGTATCTTTGAAAAATAATTGTGTTTAATAATTCATTTGTCAAATGCAGAGCTCTGACTCTATATTTTCTGTGTTTTTAGTTCAACTATGAAAGCAAAAGTCCCGCCACCCCTGCCACCAAAGGTAAACAGACTCGCTGTTTACACCCTGCACACTGCTCTCCACTGCGCTGCTTGCTCTCCCTATTACTGTAGCCTGTTCTTGTTCCCACCATAAAGAAAACCAGCCTGGTCTACAAGAGCTAGTGCCAGGACAGGCTCCAAAGCTACAGAGAAACCCTGTCTCAAAAAAAACTAAGAAAGAAAACTAGCTGAGGATTATTATCTGAGAACATAATTTTACTTTGATCTTTTAAAAATGATGATTCAGTAGTTACTTAAGTCATACATTTTAAATATTTTTACTTTGAAATAATTTCTAGATTGGTATTATTTCCACCTAACTAGAAATCTTAAATTTTCATAAGATATTTTTCCTTAAAATCTGTAACCTATCATTAGTTGATTGTGAGAATGGACAAAGGAAAAACTGCCATCACAGACATTTAATTTTCAGAAAATAATTGTAAACTAAAAGTACAAAAGTAGTACAGTAGCTTTAGAAAACAGTGTGATGTCAACCTCTCCCTTTCCCTGGCTTTGCTGGGATTGAACCTGGGACCATAAAAGGTGGCTGAAGAGACAGCCATGGGTGCTGGGAACCAAACTCTTATATTTTTGGTTGTGAGCCTAGCCTTTAATGGCTGAGCCATCTCTCCAGCCCCCTCCCTTTTTGAAATAATATTCAGCTTTAATAAAAAGAAGAAAGGAAACTTAGAAAACCAGGGTTCCAGCGATTCAGGAGCGGGGGGCAAAAGAGGAAGAAACAAGTGCACCTGGTATTTTATCTCTTTTTCTGTGACCCCAGGGGGACACACCCTAAACAGAAGGTGATTGGCTAAAGTCCCCCATCAGACCATTGTGCACATTAGGCAAGCACTCTGCACTGAACTAATCCTTTACCTGCAAAGTCGTCTTGGATAAGAAAGAAATCACAACTTACAGGGTTTTGTTTAATTTCATACATGTATACAATATATACAAGTTTTTTTTAAGGACAAAATGAGTGGATACAAATAGCAGTATGGTACGTTTATCTTCCAGGTTTATATGTGTCGTAAGTTTCAGTTACAAAAGTTAAGTTGTGTTGTAGTTTGGGTTGGAGTCTTACCAATCTCGGCCCTACTGGTGTTTTGTTCCCATTGTATTACTGAGAGAAGTGTTAATTCTCACAGCCGAAAGGTGCTGCACTTGTGTGTGGAGACTCCTTTGGTGGGTGGGCATCATGAGGACACATGTGGAGGAACTGATACATTCTGCATCCTTATTGTGCTGGTGTTCTCCAGTGTATGATCATTTTAATTGCCACCTTCTGTTGTTCCTAATCTGAAAGATTATATTTTAACATCAAACATTCTGAGTTGTCTAAAGGACAGATTAGATTAACCCAACAAGTATTGATTAACTTCAGCACTTAAAAGACATGCAGTTGGGTTGGAGTATAATCACAAAGACAGAATAGTTTTACTTAGGGAGGTTTATAAGACACTAATAGAAGGGGATAGAAACCAATTCATATTGCTCCTCCCTCAGCTGCGAAATTCAGCACATTTTAGTGTACCTTTTCAGGATAATTTTTAAGTAATGAAATAGCCTGAATCTTAAATACCATTGACACTTCTCTAATAAACACAGTTTGAAAGTCTCTGGTATGTAATAATATTTACCTCAGGAGTAATCTTATGTTTAATCACTGTTTTCCTTTTCTATGTGATTTCAGCCTAAATCCATCTTCATACCACAGGATACGCATTCTGCTGAGGATGGTAATCAAGGAACAATCAAGAGATGTCCCTCATCAGGGAGCCCAGCAAAGCCATCCCATGTTCCACCTAGACCACCTCCCCCGAGATTACCCCCACAGAAGCCTGCTGCTTTAGGTGAGGGTAGAGGACAGACTCCAGTCTGTTACAGGTGTTCGTTCTAGAAGTGAAGGGACTGTCCAAGAAATGACTGAAGTTCCCGTGTGGGGCGATGGCAAGAGCAGTGGCTGTTAGATCTGTTTTCTGCCTTCTGCTTCCCGTGCAGAGTGCTTTCAGGGACACGGTCCCTTGTGAGCCAGCCTGGGACATTTACCCCTATTTTTTTTTTGTTGTTATGTTCATGTGTGTGTTTGCCTGAAGGTATGTGTGTGTTTCACATGCATGCCTGGTACCAACAGAGGCCAGAAGGGGGTGTCAGATCCCGGGGAACTGGACAGTTGTGAGCCACCATACAGGTGCTGAAACGTGAACCTGGGTCCTTTACAGCACAGGAGGTGCTCTTAGCACTGAACCATCTCTACAGCTCCAGCCCATTAGCATTCCCACCTTTGGAGACTGCTCTGTCTGTTTCATCATTAGCCACAGCACCAAGTCGCAATCAGACTTTGAAGAAACAAGGAAATGTGTTTGGCTGTAGGCTGCTTCTGTCTTAGGAAAGATAAAGGTGTTTGTCTTTGACTCCTTAATTATTCTTAATCACTTTTAGAAAAGCAATTGGTGTTTATAGGTATTGTATAAATTAGCACTAGAAGGTACTGTTTCATCACTGTGAAGTGTCCTCTGTTGTTCAGAGGAGCCCTTTAAATGGGCTGTTACCATTTCTTGGTAACTATATGTAATATGAATTGTCCACTCCTTGAAAGTAATTCCAAATTTACAGTGTTTCTCTTTTAATAAAAATAAATGTTTACTCAGATACTACCTGAATTTAAATTTGCCTAAAATGTCAGAAGTAGGTTGAACAGGAAGAACATATATAACAGCCCAGCAATGAGTGTTCTGAATGGGAGATCTCAAACACAGGATGAGTCTCCTATTTAATAATTGTCTCAATGAAATATTTCATTAAGAAACAGCCCTTTCACAATATATCTAAACATATCTTATTGAAGGAAATGGAGTGAGCTCCTTCCAGCTAAATGGTGAACGAGACGGATCGTTATATCAGCAACAGAGTGAGCATAGAGGCACCAACCTCTCCAGAAAAGAGAAGAAGGATGTCCCAGTAAGTGCTGGCGTCTGCACACTCACACTTGTGTCCTTCCTCACTGTGTAACAAGTGTCACACTTACAAGGACTAAAACCATAGGAACTGTGTATTCCATAATTACTATAGTAATATTTTAGTCTATGGATTATTGTGATAGTATTTTATTTAATCATAAAGGTACCTTTATAAAGGTAAACTGACATGATCTTTTTAAAACCTGTCCGTTTTTATTTAGCACATTATAAATCATGGTTTTTATGTAAGTCTAACCCAGTGGTTCTCAACCTTCCTAATGCTGTGACCCTTTAATACAGTTCCTCATGTTGTAGTGACTTCAACCATAACATTATTTTCATTGCTACCTCATAACTGTAATTTGCTACTGTTATGAATCATAACATAACTATCTGTATTTTCTGATGGTCTTAGACAACCCTGTGAAAGGGGCTTTTGACCTCCAAAGGGTCACGACCCACAGGTTGAGAACTGCTGGTTTAACCCTTTACAGTGACTGTTGGCTAAGAGCTGGCTGTCCTCCCTGGAGAGAACTGACTCTGAACTCTAGCCTTTGTTGGCGGAGCGCCTGGCATGTGAGAGAAGAAATACCACCCAGAAAGCTAGGATATGTATAAGTATGTACAGTTACCTAGGGAAAGGATGTAACACCAAACTGGTTTGGGGAGTTGTAAGTAACTGTGGAAAGAATATAGGAAAGTTAAGGATAGCTATTTTATTTTATAATGATATTACTGTTGTATATTTTAGTCAAAGAAATAAGCTTGAAATACAGCATATTCTTGTCATAATAACAGCAAAAAGTAAAATAATAACACATATTCCTTTTCCAGAAGCCAATTAGTAATGGTCTTCCCCCAACACCTAAAGTACATGTAAGTACTGAGTATCAAATAACTGATTTTTCAAACTAAATATAGCAAGAATTATTTTAGTGTATATCTTTGATTGTGTCTGCCTGCTTCCCACCCTCACCCCCAGTACTGACATTACAAGCAGGAGCCATCAAAATCATGCTCAATTTTTTTTTTCAATTTAAAAAGAAAATTTTACGTGTGTGTGTGTGTGTGTGTGTGTGTGTGTGTGAATGTGTCTATGTGTGTGTTTGTTTCACATATGTACATGTGTGGTTCTGTCATAGCACAGGTGTGGAAGTCAGAAGCCAACTTCCTAGAGTGAGTTTTCTTCTTCCACCATGTAGATCTGGGAATAAATCTCAGGTCAAACTTGGAGGCAAAGGCTTTCGCTTCCTGAGCCATCTTGCCTGTCCTCGGATTGGTCCTTTTAATGACTCTATATATTTTAACTCAACCTTGCATCTTAGTTTATAATATAAAATTCAATGATGACTTTTTTTTTTTTCTTAATTTGAGACAGGGTTTCTCTGTGTAGCTCTGACTGCCCTGGAACTCACTCTGTAGACCAGACTAGTCTCAACTCACAGAGATCCTCCTGAGTGCTGGGATTAAAGGTGTGCACCACGACACCCAGACTCAACGCTGACATTATTGTCAAGAGATCAAACAAGAACTATAACATGAATTGGAGGCCTGCTTGTTTGTTGTTGGGGTTTTTGTCCCGCCCAGTACCCCACAACTGTTTAGCCCCAATGAAAATCATGTATAGGTCTCCATAAATTATAAGCTGATTGGCCCATTAGCTCTCGCTTCTCACTGGCTAACTCTCACATCTTGATTAACCCATTTTTCTGATCTATGTTAGCCACGTGGCTCAGTACCTTTTTCATTGGGGCAGATCATATCCTGCTGCTTTGGTGGTCTGGTCAGGAGTGGAAGGAATCAACTTCCTCCTTCCCAGAATTCTGTTCTCCTTGTATCATTTCTACTTCCTGTTTGGTCCCCCCCCCCATACTTCCTGCCTGGCCAATCAGCATTTATTTAAAACATGATTGACAGAATACAGACAATTCTCCTGCACCAAAGAACATTTTCTTTGTTGAGATTATTATTTTCTTCTTAACTAAGAATATGATATTGTTTTGATAGGAAATTCTGATTCTTAGTGGCAAATTATTTATTACACAGAATTGGTTATTGGTGCTGATTTTATTGTGAAATGATAAAAGAAATATGGGATTTTTTTTTCTCCAGCAAAATTGTTCCCAGAAAAGTTTGTATAATACTATCAAAAAGTCTGTTGTGGATATCCAGAAAAATTATTCAGTCAGCTAGGTGGATGGCTGACTTGACACTTTTATTTCTGTAAAGTGAGGGTGATGGTAATTTAGTTTGTCCCCTGTGGTCTCCCATATTAAAACAAAATAGTTATGCCTCGTATGTTCTATTAGGACCATTGTTTGTCACCACCATGTTGATGAGTCCTTATTTTCCAGATGGGAGCGTGTTTTTCAAAGGTGTTTAATGGCTGTCCCTTGAAAATCCACTGTGCCACATCCTGGATAAACCCAGACACGAGAGGTAGTACTGCAGTCTCTTCCGTCTCTATCTGGCCTTCAGCAGAGCTCAGACAGTTTCATTTGATTGTTTTCTCTAAGAGTTTTGCTGTTTGTGTAGACTTAAGTGGATATATTTGTCTGTGTTATTGCTATGGTTTGAGGTCGCAGGTGACTCACTGGAGTTGCTTGGCAGTCACAGCATCAGATCTCCCTCATTTCCTGCAGAAATGTTTCTTCCTCTCCTGCCCAGGGTGTTATTTTCACAGAGCCACAACTGAAGTGACTTAGATCCTAAACACCCAGAATTACATGACTGTTTGAGAGGGGCTCTAAATTGTAAAAGGGATCATATTCAGAGCAGTTGGGGTGTAAGTTAAGGACGGGGTGTTATTTCTGCATCCCAGCAGCCCTCGTTAGCTATGTAAAATACCCAGAGTCACCTGGGAGCATTCTTAGATGAGTGTGTGTAAGAAGACAAATATGTACACATCCTTCTAAACCCCAAGATCAGTCTTCACGCACACTCGGCTGTGCTGCTCCCAGGCAGCTGGTGCAAGAGCGCTTGGTTTGAGCCACTGCTTTCTGACTGCATGTTCTGGGTTGTTCTTAGACTACTTCTGCTCAGCCCAAAGAAGATCATAATGTATTGCTTTTAAGATCTTCAAAACAATTAAATAGGACGTTGGCTAAGTTTCTCTTATCGTCTAAAACAGCAGTTCTCAACTTGTGGGTCACAACCCCCATGGAGGTCACATTTCAGCTATTTGTATTACAATTTTTAACAGTAGCAAAATTACAGTTATGAAGTAGTAACAAACTAGATTTGTGGTCGGGGGTCACCACAGCATGAGGAACTGCATTAAAGGGCCCAACATTAGGAAGGTTGAGAACCACTGCTGTACCCAGGTTTTAATTAAATTTTTAGCAAGCAATAATTAGGACATGGGTTGGGTTAGGTGGGTTTGGTTTGGTTTTAGACCAAGCTGTTAGCCCAGGCTGACCTCAGACCTCCTATCTAGTCAGTGATGACCATGGACTTCTGGCTCATTTGTCTCCACCTCCTAAGTCTGTGGTTACATGCCTATGCCACCAAGTCTGGTTTGTGTGCTGCTGGATCAAACCCAGGGCCTTACCCATACTAAACAAGCACTCTACCTACTGAGCTACATCCTCAGTATCTGCTTTATTTTGTTATTTCCTCTGCCTTTCCAGTCCCAGGATCCTGTGTTTTTTATGTTAGGGCTTATAGTAATAGCCCCAAAATAAGTCTCTTGTCTTAGTCACCATTCTATTGCTGGAAAGAAACAACTCTTAATTAGGGACTTGATTATGATTTCAGAGGTTTGGTCCATTATCATCATGGCGGGAGCGTGGCAGTGTGCATGACGCTGGAGCAGTAGCTGAGAGCTACATCCTGATCCACTGGCCAAGAGAGAGCCAGGGCCTGGACCAGAGTCCACCTCCCCAGTCACTTACTCCCGCCAAGGCCATGCCTCCTAGTCCCTGTAGTCCTTTCAGACAGTTCCACTTCCTGGTGACTGAGCATTCAGGTAGATGGGCCTCTGGGGCCGTTCCTACTCAAACCACCACATGTGTAAAGATCATTTTTAATCTGAGCTAGTTCTTAGTTTTCACCCTGTTATTTGCACATGATCCTCTCTTTAGGGAACTCTAGAGAAAGTAGCTGCAGACTCTGCCAGTCAGTCCCTCCCTCTGGTGAGTGAGGAGTCTAACAAGCTCCTCTTTATGTCTCCCTCATACAGTACTTTCCTCACTGCGCTGAGACTAACATTTATATATAACTTAGTTTATGAGTATCTAATTTCTTCTCTGTATTAAAACTTGAAAATTATAGTCTTTTTCAGAGGTAACACATATTTACTAAATTTTAGATACTATAACCCTTTTAAAGTATCTTGTTTATTGAAATCAGCTATGAAATGTCTCTGTTATTTCAGATCAGTACTTAATATTTGGTGCTGAAGAGGGCATTTATACCCTTAATCTCAACGAACTTCATGAAACATCAATGGAACAGGTAGGCTACCTTCTGTATTTTTCTTGTTAATTAAGTAGACATTAGAAATAAGTTTCAGTTATAGTTGACACTCCTTTTATTCAGAAAACATTCTATGAGCTTTCGTTTACTACGTACTGAAGACAGAGCCCCAGGCTTGGCTCCTACCCCTGGGAAGTTTACACTTACATGCAAGACAGATCCCAGTACTCCCACTTTGACATCACTCTAGGAATGAGCACAGGAGAGAGGCAGTGAATGTCACCAGTTCCTCCTGTGAGAGCTGTAAAGTAGTGTGGGCGGGGAGGAGTGCTTGAGCACTTGTGAGTCTAGAACAGTGACAACGAACTCTCAAACCCCAGCTAATGGCCAGACCTGTGCTTTGGAAATGTGAGATTGTGGTCAAAGATGAAAGACCTGTTAAGTCTGGGCAAAGGGTGGGGGAAATGACTCAGTGATTAAGAGCACTTGCTACACAGACCTCCTATGGCTAGCCTGGGCTGCAAGCTAGACTAGACTTCATACCCTAACTCTCCACCTTAGACGTCCCTGGAGAAGTCTTTAGCATAGAGAAAGACAGGTTCTGTATGAAGGCTCATGAGAGGTCCCTATCAGAACTGCACGTGACAGTGCAGTTTTCAGAGAAGTAAGGGAGAGGAACGAGGACATCAGTCTCACATGTTTTAGTGTCATGAATTCACTATACAGAAAATGGAGAAAAATCTGCAAATAGTAATAAACTATTCAAAACTAAACATTGCCGTCTTTCTTACATTTCTTTTTCTTTTTTGTGGCGCTAGGACCAAACCTCCTAGGGTTTGCACATCTTAGCAAAGGCTCAACCACTGAGCTATATACCCATTCCCCCTTAACCATTTAATTTTTTAAAAAAGATTTGTTTATTTACTATGTGTACTGTGTTCTGTCTGCATATGTGCCTGTAGGCCAGAAGAGGGCGCCAGATCTCATTACAGATGGTTGTGAACCACCACGTGGCTGCTGGGAATTGAGTTCAGGACCTCTGGAAGGCAGTCAGTGCTCTTAACTGCTGAGCCATTTCTCCAGCTCAGACCTACCTTTTAAATTTTTTAAAAAACTTTATGAGTGTGGGCGTCTTGGCATGGATGTGTATCTGTGCACCATGTGTGTGCCTAGGGCCCACAGAGGCCAAAAGAGGATGTTGGTGCCCTAGAACTGAAGTTATAAACAGTTGTGAGCTGCTGTGTGAGAACTGAGAATCGAGCCCAGGTCCTCCACAAGAGCAGACCATGCTCTTAACCAGTGAGCTATCTCTCCAGCCCCACATGCTCTATCTATCTTCCACATAAGAATACAAAGACTAGCTGGGCAGTGATGGGTCATGCCTTTAATCCCAGCACTCAGGTGGCAGAGGCAAGCGGATCTCTGAGTTCTAGGCCAGCCTGGTCTACAGAGTGAGTTCTAGGACAGCTTGAGCTATATAGAAAAGCCCTGTCTCGGGGGGTGGGGGGGGGGATGCAAAGACTAAAATAAGTTTACTGAAGTCACATACATAGTCATCAAGAAAGTGTGAATCTAAGCAAAATATTGAACCTGCTCTTCTTAAGTGTTATGTTCTTTCATTAAACTGATTATTCTACCCAGAACCTAACTTACTAAAGGAAGCATTGATCATGTGGAAAACCTTTAGATTTTTTTTAAGGTAGTTTAAAAAAACTCCAAAATGAAATCCAACACTCAAAGCTAGGTATAAATGCCCCACGCCCCATGCTGAAATGTAAAAGGCTTTATGTCTTGTCCTGGCACTTTCTATACGATTACATTAGTAGTTAGAAAATGTCGTCCTATGTTTGGCACTTAGGAAGGACTTCTAAGTATGTATTTGTGTAAAAATTGCCATAGGTCAACACTGATTAAATAAAAGTCAGTGTCCTATGGTCTAGAATAAGTTATTGCCCTTTCTCTGCCTCTTGTTCTCAGTGTGATGAGTAAACTCCCCCTTGAGGTACAGTGTTTTAGTGAAAAGCATAGAGTAGAAAATATGTGTTAAAATTGGGATTTAAGACATAGTTAGCTATAGGTATATGGTCCATATTTTTTAATGTTTGACTGGAGAGTATTTCAAGAATGCACTTCCCAAATAAGTGAAATGCAAGCTTTCTGCTTTATTTATTTAAATTGTATTAATAAGGGATTTGATTTGCTTCTCCCTTCTGTTGTTACACTTTCTTATGACTTGGTGCTCTAATGTAGTAATGTCCTTAGAGCCTTGATGTATTTCATCATCTCTCCATTCTTCCTATTCCCTACCCTCATCCCAGTCCATTTTGGAAAGCCCTGTAGGAATTGCCCAGAGCAAGCCCAGCCAACAAGCTTGTTAAGTCAGGGTACCTAATTGCATACATGAGTGGCTGTCACAGTCTTCTTAGGTACTAAGTGTTCAGCCTACTGCTTTAGTAGGTGGGAATGAGGTCCAAGAGCTGGCATGTCTAACACGGGCCCAGGTCATGGTGATGCTGTGGTCCAGCAGCCACTGTGCAGACTGCTCACACTTGTTGATGAAAAGTCTCTGTGAGACCAGCCGATTCTGCCTTTAAAGCATACTGATTCGCTTTTCTTTGCCCCAATACTCAACTATCACCAAGGGTCCTGAGCTGTTCCCCAGTTCTCACACACTGCGTGGACAGATGGATGCTCATATTTTCTCTCAGCTTCTACTTACCCCAGCCTTTGTAGTTTGCAAATTTTCCTCATGGTCGCTTGCAGCCTTTCTCCTGTACAAAACTAATTTTCAGTGCCTCTTGTTCTACATTGTTACTTTTTTTCTATATCATTCATACATTGCACGTACTTGATAAGTACATTTTAAGAATAGTTCACAGGAGAGACTTATGCATTTAACACAGGTCCAAAAGAAAGGAATAGATGGTATTTAAAATGTTTTTATTCTCCTTGGGTTTACATAGTCCCTCATTACAGAGTGACGAGTTAATCATGCTGTGTTCAAACTTAGATTGTTTGCCGTTAGCTTCCTTTGCTGTCGCTGTGAGCACACTTTAAAGGCCTGAGAACTGCCCTTGACATTCAGCTCGCACAGCACCATGTACATGTGTGTAACTCTGTAAACTTTGTGTGTTGGCAGCTGTTCCCCCGCAGGTGTACATGGTTATACGTGATGAACAATTGCTTACTATCAATATCTGGTAAGTCTGGCTTTTATGCATCTTAACCAATCCTTGATGCCTGTTATTCGCTCTTACGTTGTGTTTATTTCTTTACAGGTAAAGCTTCTCAGCTTTATTCCCATAATTTACCAGGGCTTTTTGATTATGCAAGACAGATGCAAAAGTTACCTGTAGCAATTCCAGCACATAAGCTCCCCGATAGAATACTGCCAAGGTAACTGTTGAGTTGTGTTTCTGTCCTTAGAGATCTCATGCTCAAAACCTTTCTTCTGTAGAAGGAGAAGGCTTGAGCTAATAGAAATTTTTCATTAAAAAATCATGTTGTGGTGTACGTTCACAAGGGCTTATTTATCATATTTTTGTTCTAAAATTGTTGTAATTTGTGCTTTCTAATTACATGAACATTTTCTTTCTGAATTTTTGTCTTTTCTGCAAAAACAAAACTAATTTTTCATGTAATCATACATTACGTACATTGCCTTTGCTCTTAACATGTTTGTGTTAACTTACATAAAGTGACTTTTTTTCAAAGTACAGTTTCTAAGCCTGGAAAATCAAAATGATTATTGAATTAATGTTTTTGCATTTGGAGAATAATTGGAGGTGAGGAGTTTTGCTTTTGTACTTTCTGCATTTTTAATCATGCTGAGCTCTCATTTTGATTGTAATAGTGGTCCTCATTTGTTTCTTGAATGGTCTTTTAAGTCAAACTGTAATATAGCCAGTCTTTTTTTGCAAGACTCATTGTAAAACCAATGTTAAGAACCCTTAGTTTTCAGGTTCCTTGAAGCTCTGTTGTTAACTTCTGAGTTTACAGTGTGGACAGATGTCTTTTTAAAGACTTTATTTAGTGTGCGTGCGTGCGTGCGTGTGTGCGTGTATGTACATGTACCTGCAAAGGCGTTGGATTCCCTAGAGCTGGAGTTACAAACAATTTGTGAGCTGCCCAGCATGGGTGCTAGGAACTGTACTTGGGTCCTCCAGAAGAGTAGGAAGTGCCATTAACAGCTGAGCTGTTTCTCCGGTCCTGACAAGCTTATTTCTCCATAGCCTTCCGATGAAAGCTGTTTAAAACTTAGGCTTTTCTGTCTTGAAATAGATACATTAAATTTAATTAGGCATTTTCATGATTTTTCGGAATTGTGACTTGGGCTTCAGTTAATATAGTAACAGCTATATTTGTAATTTTTTCTTTTTCTTTTTTTAGTTTTTCAAGACAGGGTTTCTCTGTAGCTTTGGAGCCTGTCCTGGAACTTGCTCTTGTAGACCAGGCTGGCCTCGAACTCACAAAGATCTGTGTGCCTCTGCCTCCCGAGTGCTGGGATTACAGGCGTGTGCTACCACTGCCTGGCTTATAATTTTTCTTTTAACTATCACTTTGTGCTGCTGTTTGTCTACTTAACTATTATAGTGCCTTTTCATCTAGCTGTGTTTACTTTTTCCAGTTTTTACTGACTGTAAATGAAGTGTCTCCATGCACAGATGAGACACTATACATGAATAAGATACTGCCTCTTCCTTTAAGAACTTTCCATGGAAGATTAACCCCTCTCTTTGCAGTTTACCTCTAACTTACTGCTTTAGGAATTTTGTTATAATTAATTTGCAGCATCAGAAATACCCACAGATATTTCCTTCCTTTCTCACCTTCGTTATCTAGGAACCAGTTACCATAACACATGCCTGAAACCCAACACTTAGTAGATAAAGGCAGAATGATCAGGAGGTAAAGGCTAGTCTTAGTTACATGGTGAGTTGGAAGTCAGCTAAGGCTATAAGACTGTGTCTTAATGGGTAGGTAGTTGGAGAAATGGCTTGGGCCCCCCAGGGGTGGGGGTGTTAAGAACATGTAGTGCTCTTGCAGAGAATCCAAGTTTATTTCCCATTGGGCAATTCACAACCACTTGTAACTCTAGCTCCTGGGATCTGACACCTCTCGTGACTTTTGCAAGCCCCTGAACTCACATACAATTTTAAAATGAAATAAAACTAGTCTCAGCATTTGGGAGGCAGTGGCAAGCATATCTCTGCTAGTTCGAGGACAGCCTGGTCTACAAGAGTTAGTTCCAGGACAGGCTCCAAAAGCCACAGAGAAACCCCATCTTGAAAAAACTTAAAATGCAGTTTTAAGATGTAGTTGGAAGCTGAGCAGGGGTGGTGCACACCTTAAGTCCCAGCACCTGGGAGGCAGAGGCAGGCAGATCTTAGTGAGCTTCAGGCCAGCCTGCTCTACAGAGTGAGTTTCAGGACAGGCTTCAAAACACAGAGAAACCCTGTCTTGAAAAACAAACAAAATTAAGACTTATTTTTATTTGTGTGTGAGTGTGTGTGCATGCATCTGAATGCAGGTTCCCACAGGTGCCAGAAGAGGGTGTCAAATCCCCTGGAGCTGGAGTTTCAGGAAGTTGTGAACCACCTGGTATGGGTGTTGGGACTGGAACTCAGGTCCTCTGGAATAGCAATGCATGCTCTTAATTGTTGAGCCATCAGCCCAATAAGACAACTTTTACATAACGTAATTCATTGATGTGCTGCAAATACGTCTCCTGGTGTTTGCCTTCTCTCCACTTTGTCACTGGTGCTTTCTGGTGAACCAGGCTCCTAATGCAGCAGTTTAAGACTGGAACGCTCATGTGTGTGTTGTATGTAGTCTGTTGGTTTTACATTTTTAAAAACCCTAGGGTCATATTCTTCTGTATTCAAACTACTCCATGGTTTTGTTTTGTTTAAACTTAAAAGTTTATTCCTTTTGGAATTACTAGGAGGCCCTGAGAAAAGGATCTAATGTATTTTAACCTTCTGCCTATATTATTTACTTATTTATTGTGTGTGGTGTGTGTGGTGTGGTATCGTGCGTGCATACCACAGCATGCTGAGGAAATTAGATGACAGCCGTCCACTACTAGGGTTCCAGGGATTAAACTCCAGTCATCAGGTTTGATAGCAAAGTCCTTTCTTTCCCCCTCTGGCCTGTTTGGCCAGCCCCTGTAGTCTTACTTTAATGGAGAATCCCCAGAACTAATGTCTAGCTCTTGCTTTCCCCGCTGGTCTTTAACAGCATTATTGCAATGTATATTTGCCGCCTGCTAACATATTCTCCCTTCAAATTTAGGAAATTTGCTGTATCAGCAAAAATCCCCGAAACCAAGTGGTGCCAGAAGTGCTGTGTGGGTGAGTAGACTCCTGCCTGGCGGAGCGTAATGGAACCTGTGGGGCTCATGTCCTGTAGGGCATAGCTTTAGCCCTCAGCCCTGAAGTAAAGCAGCATTCTTGGCCTTTCTGTGTCTGTGTAAGCTAAGACAAGTACAGCACCTCTACATAGCAGGTGCTTAGCAAACTTTGTTGGTTGTTGTGATGGATGGAGTTGGTGGGGTGACTTACACAGAAAACAAGCGTGTCATGTTCCCTGTGAGTGGTTAATTACCATTCACTCCCTGGCTCAGCATGTACTCATGCCTGTACTGGTGAACCATGTGTTCATGATATGAAGACTGTAGTTCCCCTGTGCACACACTTCTGAACTAAATTGCTCCCGCACCCTTATAACGACTCGTTTTCTTATTGCACATAACAACAAGAAAGGCCAAATGGTTTCCACCCCTTAAGTCACGACTGCTGTAAGAGGGAAGTGGCATTCTGTCATTCCAGTGCCAGGTGTGGGAAGGCTACGAAAGGCCACTGGCCTGGGCCTCAGAAGAATTAACTGAGGAGCTGACGAGGACACTTTGAACAGAGTGGCATAAATATGAGATGCAGTGAATACCAGCACTTCCATGCTAAGTGCTGAATACCCACCTTAGCCGGATTCTTATGAACAGAAGAGGACTAGTGCAGACATGAACTCTTACTATACACTAACACGTACAAACTGAGCTAGACAGGAGCAGTGCAGACGGACAAGATGGGGAAGACACTGGAGGCTGAGGCCTCAGGTTCAGAGGCTGGGCAGAAAGCTCAGAAGAAATAAGAGCAACTGCTGGACCAGAGCCAGTGACAGGGCTGCTGTGTGGACTTGGTTCCTTGAGTGGCAACCAACCCATCACTCAGCTGACTTGGCTCTGTGTGAGGAACGAGACCAGATTTTTGTTGTCCCTGACTTTCTATCTGGGCTTTCTGCTGGCTTTAGCTGGGTAGTGTTGCCCCTCAGTTCCTCTGCCATTTAGCCTATGTGAAGTTAATGGATTTGGTCCTTTATACAGTTTTCGTAAAATCCCTTATTTCCATGTATTTAACTATATCTTAAATGTAAGAAAAGCTCAAAACCCTAAGGCAGTTCTGTTTTATTATTTGTAAGCTTTTGTATTATAAAATGTGATTAGTTGTAATGCTTTTTAGTGACCATAGAAGGGGTCTAACAAAAAAGGGGATAAGTAAATATTTTGTTTTTTAGAAACGGAGCATTTTAGCCTCTGTACATCAGTGTCAAAAGCACCCTGTGAGCCACCTGGGTTTGAATAGCCTCTCATTTGACAGCTTCTCCCCAGGTTCACGATGGTCCATTTGAATATCCTATCATGTGATAACTTCTCCCCCAAATTTACGTTGCTCCATTTGAATAGCCTCTCATTTGACAGCTTCTCCCCAAGTTCACATTGGACCTTTCTTCAGTATGGTGCAGCCTCAGCTGGCTTCCCTGCACTGCTCACATGACACCGGTCATGGTCAGCCTCCGTCCCACCTATGCATATAGCCGGCAGTCCTTCACGTGCTGGGTCTCCTGAGACAGTAGTTCTCATTCCCTTCTATGTAATTAGGGACAAACAGGCAGCCTGCTTTTGAGCTCTTGGTAATCTTTTTTTTTTTAAGGGGGAAGGAGGGAAGCATATAACTATTATTGTAAGGATTTTATATACTAAGAAGACTGATGTTACTTTTTTGCCTTTTCAGTAAGAAATCCTTACACGGGCCATAAATACCTGTGCGGGGCACTTCAGACTAGCATTGTTCTATTGGAATGGGTAGAACCAATGCAGAAATTTATGTTAATTAAGGTAAGCATTCGTGGCATCCTTAGTATGAGCTTTTCTGTTCTTTAAGATAAAACTTTTTTTTTCAGGTAATTCTCAATTCTGGTAATTTTTGGGTTGTGTGGTAGATTTAAAAGCTACATTGTTGGCCACATGAAAGTTGTACAAGAAACCAGAGAGATAGGGTATAGCAGTGAGGGACTGGAAGAAGCCCAGCCTTCCCTTGACCTCAGGAGAACTTGGGGCTTTTGTTTAAGTTTCTATAGGATCTTTCACTAAAAGTTCATCTTTGAAATACTTTCAAGGAGGTGTAGTTGGTTGCGACAGTGATGCCTGTATCCTAGCACATGGGAGATGGAGGCAAGAGGGTCAGGATTGCAAGGCCAGTCTGGGGTAATGAGACCCTGTCTCAGACCAAACAAAGGGGGGGGGGGGGTCTTTTTATAGTATAAAAGTTACGCCAAGTAAAGTTTTCAGTTGTTTTATTTGCTGTTGTGTGGTCGTATTTCATGAGCATTTGGTCCTTGTGGATAATCAGAGTCAGATAGCTGGAGTCACAGAGTCAGAGTTCTGGTTCCCTCAGAACTGTGGTGTGGAGCAGAATGTCCTGGGTCTGGCTTCTGTCACCTGAAGTCTACAGACAGCAGTGGCCAGCTTTAGTTCTCACATGAATATTACTCTCTGGTTTCATTGATGTTAAAGAAAATTTGAAAACCTTTTGTAGTAGTAATTCCAAAAATAATCTCACTGCAACAGAAATTATTTAAATTGAAGCCTAAGGGAAAGTAGCCTTATTAATTTCCTGGAGCATACAGCCTATTTGAAGCAAAATTGTATATGTGGTTTTTTTCTTCAGCCTTTCTTTTATCTTGCCTTGTTCGAAAAAGTATTTCCTAGGTGGAGCAGGAATGCTGGTACAGTTTGGTTTTTCCTATCTCCCTCCCTTACTCTGCTTCGACTACACCCTTCCTTCCTTCACTCTTCGCCTCTGTAAAACGAAAGCACTTTCAGCGTATCAGTTACCCACACACACTTGAGCATGGATGACATCCGTGGGTTGCTTTCTGTTATGTTAGACCATTTCCCCATTAAAGGAGCTAGGAAGTGCAGGAGGGTCTGGGGGCATGGTTCAGTGACTAAGAGTTCTTGCTGTTCCTGCATGAGACCCTCAGTGAGGCTCCTCATTTAAAAAGGGGGGGGGGGGGTATAAGCCAACTATGTCTCCAGTGCGTGAATGGTGTAGAGAGGGATCTCTGGGGCTGCTGGCCAGTCTGCCTGTCAGAGAAATAGCAAATTCCAGGGTCAGTGAGAGACTCTATCTCAAAGGAATAAGGAATCAAATGGTGGAGAAGACACCTGACATCCTCCTCTGGCCTATACACACACACATAACACACATGACATAGACACACAACACCCACACACATACAACACACAAAGCATGCAGTAGGGAACATGTGCTCTAAGACACAACAAGTTACAGGTTTCCCCTCAGTGGCTTTTCTGACTGACTGGTGAAGCCTGTGGCTAGCTCTCCTAGACGAGGTCAGTGCACACCGACCTTTCCTGCAGGACTGCCTTGCACCCTTTTCCTGACATTTCTATGTCTGCTGTGTGACTTCTATACACTGTACATTTTGATATTTATTTATTTTTCTCAATGTTGTTATGCTGTGACTGTCTATTAGATAGATGCATTAAATTTGCTTTCTATGTCCTTCCCCTTGGTGGTGTTCCTGGCAATATTTGCATCATTGGGCTGTGTTTTTGAGTGTTTTTTTGTTTTATCATAAATAAGGTTAAATTAGAGATCTTCCCAGCAACACTCTCTCACTCTAAAGACCTTGTTTGCTAGAGTAAGTCAGGTGCAGGGCCCAGGTCTAAGTCAGGAATCCATGCTGCTAGCGACGTATGCACTTAGCCTGATTATTACAGGGAGTCAAAACAGTTGGCTTCTTACATGCTCAGAAAAAAAAAGACAGAGAGCGCGAGAGACCCAGAAATATCATTTTCTTACTACATTTGTAGTCTTAGCCATATCTGAATGTTTTTTAATGTCTTTAAATTACCTGATGATAAATATGGAAGATTAGGCTGAAGATGGTCATTAGGAGCACATTCTACCCTTAGAGAGGACGTGAGTTCAGTTCCCAAAACCCATATCAGGTGGTTAGCACCTCCTGTAAGTCCAGCTCCATGGGCTCCAACATCTTTCTGTGCCTCCTGAGCTACCTGTATACACATACAAACACATCATTAAAAATTAAATGTTTTAAAAATAAGACAGTTTGGGGCTGGAGAGATGGCTCAGCGGTTAAGAGCATTGCCTGCTCTTCCAAAGGTCCTGAGTTCAATTCCCAGCAACCACATGGTGGCTCACAACCATCTGTAATGAGGTCTGGTGCCCTCGTCTGGCCTTCAGGCATACACACAGAAAGAATATTGCATGCATAAATAAATAAATATTAAAAAATTTAAAAAAAAAAATAAGACAGTTTTAGGTTTGGAAAGTTGAATCGGTGGTTATTCTTCCAGAGGACGCAGATTCAGGTCCCAGCGTCAACGTAGTGTTCACAACCATCCGTAACTCCGGTTTAGGAGACCTCACACTCTCTGCTGGCCTCAGTGTTCTATCCCTGCTGTTGCTCGCAGCCAATTGGATGTTTTCTAGCTCTTCTAAACAGCTGCCATGAACACTCTGGTGTAGTCTCCTGAGAATGCCGACCTTGTTCTGTAGATCCCCTCAAGTATTGAGTCATAACGCAAATGTTCAACATTGGTAGACAGTGTATCTAGCCGGAGTGACTGTCCCAGTATCTGTCCCCACTGCCCTTCACTTGGCTATCATTCTTTTTGTTGTTCTTTATTTTAGTTAATCTGGTGGATATGGACATATTTTGTTGTTTTGTCTCTGATTATTAATGAAGTTAGTGGGGTTTTTTTTATTATTTTCAGATTTCCAAACTGGGAATGTGTTTGTTTTCTTTATAGCAACATAAAAATAAATTTAAAAAATAATAAATAAATTTAAAGTTATATAATTTTAAAGTTATATAAATTTATATAAAGTTAGAGTGGCATTGTATCAAAGTTAATGTATTGGTGAAATCCCCTGAGATGGGAGGCTAGATTTCTCTTCTCGTTCATGTGTGGGCTGGTATTTCTCGTCTTCCTCCATGTTTGCTCATGGTAAGAAAAGCAACCGAGTCTAACTGACGTTAGTCACTCAGCTCCTGAACTTCGTTTTCTCACTCACAAGAGAGATGAGATAGATTTCTTTCTAGCACTAGTATCCAAATATTGTGTGATTTCAAGTTAATGTTAATAAAGATACTTTGTACTTCAGATTTATCTGCACACTTTGGGTTTCGGGAGCAAGAAGCAGTCTTGAGAGCAGAAATCCCTTCAGATCTCTCACTGCTGCTCCTGGAGGATGTGGCCTTGGTCCCTCTGCTCAACTTGTGTGTGTGTCTCTCCAGCACATAGACTTTCCGATGCCGTGTCCACTCCAGATGTTTGAGATGTTGGTGGTCCCTGAACAGGAGTACCCTCTGGTTTGTGTTGGGGTCAGCAGAGGACGAGACTTCAACCAAGTGGTTCGATTTGAGACTGTCAATCCAAATTCTACCTCGTCGTGGTTTACAGAATCAGGTTTGTGATCGTTGTGTAATTAGTAAAGCCACTGCATTAGTTGTTTTAAAGGCAATAAGTGTTCTGTATTTCCCAGCAAGCAGAAACTGCATAAAAAGCCAGTCTAAAATAACTCTATTAGTAAACAAGAAGAGATAACATGCTCTACACTTGAATTAGTGTGTTCAACACATTTTAAACAATTTGATTGAAAAACAGATATATAGAAAGTACATACAGTGTTTAAATGTGGAAATGAGTTTTGTGTGTGAATCTGTTATATATCTTGATTATTTGTACATTATTGTGGCCAAATACATACCAAGAACAACTTAAAATTCATTTTGGCTCATGACTTCAAAATGCTTCAGCCACCATGGCAGGGAAGCAGAGCAGTTCTTGATACCGGGAGCATGTGATGAGCCCCCATTCAGATCATGACAGACCAGAAGTCAGAGAACAAGACGTGAGGTAGGAGACAGGCCATTATCTTGAGAGCCCTGTCCCTGTTGGTGAACTTCCATCAGCAAAACCCTCCTTCCTAAGGATCCCACAGCTTCTCAAAATAGTACCACTAACCAATCAGGAGCAAGAATAAAACATGAGGGGCCAGCAAGGAGGCTTGTGGGTAAAGGTGCTTGCTGCCAGAGGTGCTGACCAGAGTTCTATTCCGGGGACCCACACTGCAGAGCACTGACGCCTACAGGTTGTCCTCTGGTCTCCACACACACAAGTAAAATGTAAAATGAAAGGTTTAAGACCTATACCAATTGAAAACATTTCAGATTCGGACCATAACCATATATATTTGTTAAGTGTTTTTCATAGAAGCACTCATGTCTTAGCATAAAATGAGGTAGATACCAGTGTGGTCTTCTGATTTTTGAAGAGTACATTACTTAAAGTCATGCACTTCAGACAGCTGTGCTGTGTGAACTCCTTCAGCCGGTAGCCTTTAAGATACTGGCCCGCTCTGGGCATGGCCATACACAGATATAAAAACGTGTGCAGCTCCTTGGCTGCTGGATTCGGGTCCTGTTCCCTTGTGCAGAGGATTGCTGATCTGTGAGTATGCCTCTAAATAAGGAAACTTTATTACACTCCATTCTGAGGTAGTGTGGGACTATTTTATTATAATCAGCAACATCTGGCACCAAAAAAAAAAAAAAAAAAAAAACGGTGGAATCAGGGAGATGCCATGTAGCTGCCAAAGGAGAAAGACACCCTTACCAACAACAAGCCTCATGGTAAAATACAAAATAATAAAAATGGATTACTTTAGGATGTAGGAGTTGGTTAATAAGAAACCTGAGCTAATAGCCTGAGCAGTGTTTTAATTAATACAGTTTCTGCCCTGGGTCTGGGCAGCCAGGAAACACCAAGTGGTCTCTATCCACACAGCTGTTTATCTTCTGTAGGCTGCTGGTGTGACAGGGTAATAGAGTGCACAGTTAATGCACAGCACACACAAAGCTCGGTGTTTTGGTGGCTGCAGAGAAGGCACAGCAATGAAGAGCGTGTCAGACAGCTCACAACCACCTGCAACTCCAGCTCTAGGGGATCTGACACCTTCCAACCTCCGAGGGAACCTGCATTCATGTGTACATCTTTACACATAAATGCATAATTAAAAATAAAATCTTAAAACACACACACACAAAGCCTGGAGGCTAATCCCAACCACTCTTTCTCCCCCTCAAAATCTAGAAATGACACACATTTCCAATAATTTTACTTTAAAAAGGCTATATTAGTATTTCCAACTGAATCATGTTTCTCAAAAAACCAAGTAACAGCTTGTTATATGAGCAAATAGTCTTCATATTTTGTGGTGCTTTCCGTCTCTTTTCACACTAATTTCTAGAGTTTTATGTAACTCAGTTGTTTGGTGTTACTATTCACAAGAAGATCGAGTCTTTGTGACGACCGTAGTAATGAAGCAGCCATTCACAGCTGCCAGAGCCAAGCACGGAGGTGCACACCGAGAGTCCCAGCACTTAGGAGGCTGAGTCAGAGAAACAGCTACCCTGGGCTATATAACCAGAACTTAGTCTCAAAAAGAAATACTTTAAAAATATAGACATTTATTAACACTTACATTTTCAAGTATCTAAATATAAATTTTACCTTTTTAGTCGTACTGCATCACTTTAGTAGGGTGTCAGTAGAGTGGTTAGCAAAGGCCAGTGCTTCCCAGTGTGAGCTCCATCAGTGTACTCCGTGAGAGCAGTTAGCAAAGGCCAGTGCTTCCCAGTGTGAGCTCCATCAGTGTACTCCGTGAGAGCAGTTAGCAAAGGCCAGTGCTTCCCAGTGTGAGCTCCATCAGTGTACTCCGTGAGAGCGGTTAGCAAAGGCCAGTGCTTCCCAGTGTGAGCTCCATCGTGTACTCTGTGAGAGCAGTTAGCAAAGGCCAGTGCTTCCCAGTGTGAGCTCGATCGTGTACTCCGAGGCCCCAGCTCCAGACTGCGTCGTTTGGTAAACCACAGTCGGTGCTGGTGATATGAAAGGAGATCACTGTGCTTTTTTTTTTTAAGATTTATTTTTACTTTTTTTTTTTAATTTATTGAGTTCTACATTTTTCTCTGCTCCTCTCCTCCCCCCTTCAATTCTCCCCCAAACTCCTCATGCTCCCAATTTACTCAGGAGATATTGTCTTTTTATACTTTTCTACTTCCCATGTAGATTAGATCTACGTAAGTCTCTCTTAGTGTCCGCATTGTTGTCTAAATTCTCTGGGATTGTGGTTTGTAGGCTGGCTTTCTTTGCTTTATGTTTAAAAACCACCTATGAGTGAGTACATGTGATAATTGTCTTTCTGTGTCTGGGTTACCTCACTCAAAATAATGTTTTCTAGCTCCGTCCATTTTCCTGCAAAATTCAAGCTGTCGTTATTTTTTTCTGCTGTGTAGTACTCCATTGTGCAAATGTACCACATTTTCCTTATCAATTCTTCAATCAAGGGGCATTTAGGTTGTTCCAGGTTCTGGCTGTGACAAACAAAGCTGCTATGAACATAGTTGAGCACATGTCCTTGTTGAGCATCCTTTGAATATATACCCCAAAGTGATATTACTGGGTCTTGAGGAAGGTTGTTCCTGAGAATTTGCCACGCTGACATCCAAAGGGGTTGTACCAGCTTGCACTCCCACCAGCAATGCAGAAGTGTTCCCTTTTCCCCACAACCTCTCCAGCATAAGCTGTCATCAGTGTTTTTGATCTTGGCCATTCTTACAGGTATAAGATGGAATCTCATAGTTGTTTTGATTTGTATTTCTCTGATGACTAAGGATATTGAACATTTCCTTAAGTGTCTTTCAGCCATTTTAGATTCCTCTGTTGAGAGTTCTCTGTTTAGGTCTGTACTCCATTTTTTTATTGGATTATGTGATCTTTTGGTGTCCAATTTTTTGAGTTCTTTGTGTATTTTGGAGATCAGACCTCTGTCTGATGTGGGGTTAGTGAAGATCTGTTCCTATCCTGTTTTGTCTTGTTGACCGTGTCCTTTGCTTTACAGAAGCTTTTCAGTTTCAGGAGGTCTCATTTATTGTTTCAGTGTCTCTGCTGCTGGGGTTCTATTTAGGAAGTGGTTCCCTTGTGCCAATGTGTTCAAGTGTACTTCCCACTTTCTCTTCTATAAGGTTCAGTGTGGCTGGCTTTATGTTGAGGTCTTTGATCCATTTGGACTTGAGTTTTGTGCATGGTGATAGATTTGGTTCTATTTTCATTTTTCTACATGTTGATATCCAGTTATGCCAGCACCACTTGTTAAATATGCTTTCTTTTTTTCCATTTGATATTTTTTGCTCCTTTGTCAAAGATCAAGTGTTCGAAGATGTGTGGATTGATATCCGGGTCTTCGATTCAGTTCTATTGGTCCTCCTGCCCTTCCACAGGTTCTGGGTTCTATTCACAGCACCCACATGGTAGCTCACAGCTATCTGTAACTCCAGTTCCAGGGGCTCTTATGGCCTCCTAAGAAACAGGTAGTGAAGTGATACACAGACAGACATACAGACCAAACACCCATAACTCATAAATAATAAATTTCTTTAAATTCATGTGTATGCAAACCTCAGACTGATAGGAAAGACAAGACAGTCGATGCCTTGGATGGACAGCTGCACTACCTTGAGTACAGATGTCTCCTATAATTGGTATTCTTGTGCTCAGCATCTTTAATGAAACTTTAAATGATTTAAAGCTCAGATATGTATATAAGTTAATGACTATCTCTGAAGTATTTGTGAGGATGTTTGAAAATTATTCCTATATAATTATTTCTTCAAATATTAAATGTGTATCGCCAAGTTGCTGAACAGGCACTTCCTCTATGGCAACTTACCCTAATTACCTTAGCAAATATTAAGTCTGATTAGTCCTTTTGCAGAAGTTTGATTATAGTTTGAAATTCATATTGTACTGTAGCAAAATAAAAGACATACAACATTAATTTTTTGGTAAATAAACCAGATTGAACTCTCACACTTTAAAAAAATTACCTTTAAATGTCTTATCTTTAGTTTTTAAACAACCTATTGATGGTGAAAGCCCCTTTTACTTTTTTCTTTCTAAAAATACTATAGAGCCAAGTGCGATGGTACACACCTGTAATCCCAGCACTTCGGAGGTGGAGGCAGGAAGATCAGGAGTTCGAGACCAATCTCAGCTACATAGTGAGTTCAAGGCCAGTCTTGACTACATGAGACCCTCACCCCAAAACCACAGCAACACACACACACTGCTATGGAATGTTGTGCTGTACAATAGAGAATGGACACCTCAAAGGGGAAATGTGAAAGAAAGGTTTCTAGTAAGCTTTGTTAGGCAGAAGAAAGAGTAAGAGGTACTGGTGACTCACACCTGTGAGCCCAGCACTCAGGAGCCTGAGACAGGAAGATTACAAGTCAGCCTGGGCTAGGAGAGAGACAGTCTGTCAGAACTGGATAGGGATAGGGGTTAAGAAGGAGAAATGGAGAGAAGGAACAAAAGACACAGCAGACAGACATACACATACACACACGAATTGAGGGAACTTTTATACTCAACACATGAAGCCAAGGTGTTAAACGACACACTGAACTCAAAACCTTTCTTCACAGAGACTTGTGGAAGGAAGCTGTATGTAACATAGCCCTTTGCAGTATTTTAAGATTTGTCTTTGGTTCTCCCAAAGTCTGATATGATCTCCATTATCCACTGTCTTCCCTGTGAGACAGCTGGGGCACACCTGCTTTCTAGTTTCATCTCTATTTCACAGGAAAAGATTGCTGGGTGAGAAATATTTTGCTGCCAGTCAGTTTCACTAATGTCTTAGTTCTCAGAGTGTTTTAATTGTAAACGCAATCTAATTGTTAGACAAAAGGCTCATTTCCTACAAATGACTTTAACTCCCTTCCAAGAAACTTCACTTGCTTTTATCTGAAGGATTTTTATAAATACAGAAAGTATCTCTCAGCGTTCACGAGAGAAAGATAGAGGAAATAATTTAGGTTCTTAACTTCCATTGCCCATTCATCACACTCCAATTTCTTGGAAATCTTGAAAGCGTTGTTCAGGCATCAGTGTTTCCTAAAGAAAATCCGGGGCCCAGGAGATGGCTCCGTGGATGCAGTACTGCTGGGGCAAGCATGAGGAACTGAGTTTGATCCCCAATACCACTTGTTGCGCATCTGTGCTGGGGACAGAGTCAGGAGGACTCCACAGCCTGTTAGCCAGCCAGTTTAACTGAAACAAAAAGTTCCAGGTTCAATGAGAGGCCCTGTCTCAAAAGAAAAGAATTGTAGAAGACACCCAGTGTTGACCTCTAGCCTACACACAGAACACAGCCAAACACAAAACACACAATCGTCTACACACTCCACAAACACATTAGGAGCCTCTGAAAAAAACCTCGGTATTTTAACTTACTTATAGTTAAAAAGTAGTTTAACCCTCCAATTCTTTTATTTAATATACATTGATTACATGAGCTAGGTGCTTGCATCTGGTGATTGTTCAAAGCACAGCCCAGATGGTCTGAGTTTAAAGTCAGAAATTGGCCAGAACTGTAATATACAAGATGAGACTCCTTGTTTTAAATGTAAATATAAATAATGCCCTCATCCGTGGTAGAACTGACAGGAGCCAGCTCTGCTGTGCCCGTTGTCCACATTGCCTTCAGAACACAGTGGTCCAGGGCAACCACTGTACGTGCCCTGCAAGAAATGTCCATCCATTTAAAGTGCAGCCATCCGCAGTTCTTTCTTTAAGAAAGAAGACATTGTAAATTTTGTGGTTTTCTATGACTTTATCTGGCTGTATTTGTGTTGTAGATACCCCACAGACAAACGTCACTCATGTGACCCAGCTGGAGAGAGACACCATCCTCGTGTGCTTGGATTGTAAGTTTCCGTTTGCATCTTCTTTGGTAATATTCCTCTCTTTATACTCTTGAGTGACTTCGGTTTTTCTCTAGGTTGTATAAAAATAGTGAATCTCCAAGGAAGATTGAAATCCAGCAGGAAATTATCATCAGAACTCACCTTCGATTTCCAGATAGAATCCATAGGTGAGTCGTTGCTTTGTTTTTCTTTGCATTGACAACTATTTAAAATGATCTGTCTGATAGTTACAGATGTTGTAAATATATATTGCTAGGGCCTTTTTCATTTGGGTATAATATGAAGTCACTGTCAGGCTCCTTCTACATCCTCTAAGTCTGTGAGGTAGTCACAAGCTGTAATGTGTTCTTCCTCACAGCTGTGGCATTCACAAAAGAAAGTTAAACAGCATTTCTTATAACATGTTTATGAGTTTACATTTCCTCCAGAATCCTGTAGATTCCCTATAAGTACTCTAAAATTTGGCACTCGGTACATCCTCTGTGGTTTTGCCATTGTTGCCTGATGTTCAGAGGACTTTGGTATGTAAGAATTCTTCTCCTGAGAGTAGTGATGCATCCGTGTATCCCTAGGATGCAAGAGGCTGAGACAGAAAGAATGTGAGTTCATGGCCAGCCTGGGCTACATAGCAAGTTCCAGTTCAGCCTCAAAAACCTAGCAAGACCCTGTCTCAAAAAGACAAAACTTAGTTCTTGCCATTTTCTCATGATTGGTTGTATTCTCTGGAAGGGATTTCTGGCAATACCAGATTTTAAAGTGCTGAGAAAGTAAAACAGAAATGATCGTGAAGTGTGGTTCTGAAGAGAAGAATAATGAGCACTTACTGTGCCCAGCTTGGGGGTTTGAGGTTTGAGGTTTTTAAGTATTTTACCAATAAAACAGTTTTTTTCATGTACATACATTGGCAGAGGGTGAGGCCAAGAGCAAACAGTTTGTCAACACAGATACAAACAGGAAGAAGAATGGTACAAAGAGAAGGACCAGAGTGTTGTGTGTCAGTGGAAAAATGATGCCAGCACCATTGATTTTCTGCAGGAAACAAATCAGATTTCTTTCTCACAGTTACACTATATCAAAGATGTAAATATGGAACTGAAAGATAGGAAATACATAGAACTGATAGGTAGAAACAATAAAACTGAAATTTGCCTTATTTATGTCTGCGCCCTATGAGCTGCTCCTGATGCTATGATTCAGAAAATATTGTGCAGGTTTTCAAAACCAGGCACAAGAATGAGGAGTATGCCATTGTTTATGACAAATGGATGGCAGTTGGAAACTTCAACATAAAATTATCTTGACAGCGTAGAACTAGTTAATGCAGACAGATGTGAGAATGATGCATACACAGTTGACTGCAGTGCTGTCCAAGAGAGGAAGGCAGGCCAAATGAGATCTGGGCTGAGTTGAGGGGGTCCAGGTGTTGTCTTTGTTTGAAGCAAAGGGAAATGTGGTCGAATATTTAGATCTGATAATTGGGAAGAGTGTGCATATGGCTTCTCTACTGTTGCCTGTACTTTTCTGTGTGTTCATATGTTTTATTTTTAATTACTTTACCAAAACAAATGTCTAGTGCATATTTTCAGTAAGTTTTTTCATACCAAAAAGATGAATGCATCCTGTATATTAATGTTTTAAATCCCAGAGGTAAAGATGCCATTTCTGTGCATACTGAGATTAGCGATGGGACCATTGCTGTGCGGGATAGGCAGCCATGAAGGGATGCTTGTCCCTGAACTTCTTTACTATTAGCAGTGACTAAGTTGTTCTTGCCTTCTAGTTTGTCTACAAGACAGTGTGCTCGCTTTCTGGAAACACGGGATGCAGGGCAGAAGTTTTAGATCTAATGAGGTAAGCCATCCTCTTTGAAGTGTGTTCATTAAGTTGTCATCAGAAGCCAGACGTCTTAGTGTTAGGAGGCTTGGGCTGGAGGATTATTTGAATTAAAAGTTCAAATCCAATCTAAGCTACATAGTGAGACCTGTCTCCTTTTATTGTTGCTCTTTTAATTGAAAATAGATTCCTTTCTCATACAGTCCATCCCAACCACAGTTTCCCCTCTCTCTATTTCTCCCAGCTCTCCTCCTCCCCTCTCCCCCAGATTCACTTCCCCTCTGTTTCCTTTTCAGAAAAGCCTCCAAAAGTTGACAGCCAAACAGGACAAAACAGGATACAATAAGATTAGGCACATGCCCTCCTATCGAGATGGACAAGGCCACCCAATGGAGTTAAAAAGTCAGAGATACACCCACTCCCACTGTCAGGTGTCCCACAAAAACAAGCTAACAGCCTTAACACAGACACAGAGGACCTGGCCAGGATCCCGTGCTTGCCAGTTCAGTCTCTGTGAGCCCGTATGAGCCCTGCTGAGTTGGTTCTGAGGGCCATGCTCTGATGCCCTCCATCCCCTCTGACTCCTACAGTCTCTCCTCCCTCTCTTCCAAGGGCTTCCCCAGTCTCCTGAGAGGAGAGACCGATGGAGACCTCCAACTCTCTCCACATAATGTCTGGCTGTGAATCCTTAAAACAAATTAGATGACACAAAATCTGTGTCAAGCAATTCTTTCAACTGTACCAAGTTCCTGGGTGATGCCTGCAGTGCTGTGTGCTGCTGTGTTTAGTGCGGTGCTGAGAGCAGCGGCACTGTCTCCTCTCTGTCAGCCACACAGCTCCATCCATCCTTCCTGCTTCCACTAACCGCCTCAGACGCGAGTCAGCTGACTCCTTCACCTCCCAGACACGCGTCAACAGCAGTGACCCCGCAAGCCTTGAGGAGCAACCTTGCCTCCTGACCCTGCTGCCTTTGTTCATGTGACATGATGGTTGTCCCCTTTGCATGAGCACTTCTTGCTGTACCGAAATAACTCTTAAAACATATGACGTACTTAATTCAGCTCAGCCTTTCTGCTGGCAATGCTGGTTAGCATGAGCAAGAAGAATGGTTGCCCCTGAAATATTATAGACAGGTAAAACCATCAAAGACTTCCCTGGGATCCCCAAGCTGATCTCAGCAGCGTCACTCGAGCACGTTGTGAAATAGAAAAGGGGGCTCAGGCAGGAGAAAGAAGGAAAGAAAATTTGTCCAACAAGTTACATGGAGGCCTTTTTTAAAAGTACACAGTGAGATCCTCAGTGCGCCCCCAACAACATCACATCCTTCCTCAGGCACTCACAGGCCTGAGCCACTGTTGCTGAAGTGAAGGTCTTTCCTTCACCAGAGCTGGGTCTCTAGAACAGCTCATTGTAGGATTTTGATGGAAGAAATTTCACTTCAACATCAAATTGAATGTTTAAGTTTCAACCTACAACACTGAAGGGCTTTTTGCTAGAAGCATAGTGGACTATTTTGTGTTCTCTAAGCCATCAACACCAAGCTTCTCTTTTTCGTGGTCTCAATCTTTGTTCCTCAAGTGGTTTGCAGTTGGTCACACTGAGGAGCAGCAAAGCAGGGGAGCAGCTTGTTCGTCTAGAACAGTCCCTAGAGAAGTGCCAGGAGGGCTGTTCCAGTCCCCGGGAACAGAACTGTCCCAAATGCAAACTCTGCACTGCCTTTCCAGGGTTTACTGTCACAGTTCATAGCAGGCACTCGAGGCCCAAACCAGATTTTAAAGATTTTCTGGAAGCCTATGATCTAGCAACTAATTTTCTTTCACCGTTATTTTAGGATTAATTCCAGATTCACCACAGTTAAGTTTCTCCTTAACTAAACACTTGCTGTGAGTATAAGCATATAACACATGGTGAGGCAGAGACCGTCTCCATGCTACAGACTGGGAGCTTGTGGGTGGTGGTGTTTGCAGTACTGTGACCCAGAACCTATCCTACCAGGGTTTTATACGGCAGCCAGGCGCGATGCCACTTACTTAAGAGACTGAGGCAGGAGGATCAGGAGTGCAGGTCTATCCTGGGCTGCATAGCAAGACTGTCTCAAAAGAAAGGAGGAATTTTTAAAAGATTTTTGTATCTTTATTTTGAGGAATTTTTAAAAATTATTTTTTAACTAAACAGGTAACACAAGAAATTTCAGATAACACAAGAATTTTCAGGCTCCTTGGATCTGACAGGTATGAGGATGGGTGTTACAGAATGTCCACTACTAAGTATGTTCTCCAGGTCCAGTGCAAGGCTGGTCACTCTTTCAGGAAAGTTGAAATTTCTGCATGTTCAACACTGTCTGCTCCTTTTTTTTAACTATTGAGAGACGAATCTGAGTAGCAGGAACTCGTGGGCCTGGCAGGACTTATTTGCTGCAGTCACTCTGTTGAAAGTGACTCACAGTGCATGTTAACAAACAGAACTCCATTTTCATGCCAGATAAGATTCTGAACTTCTATTCTGAATTATCAGATTCTAAAGTGCAAGTTGTGTAGGATTAATAGGAAGAACCAAGCCTCTCTCCCTCTCCTCATCCCTTGCCCTTTACCCCCAAGTCCTAGAAGAACTTTGATCTGCACATAGGCAGTGGTGGGTGCCTCCCAGAGCTGGAACTGGCCCTTTAATCATAGTTCCTGGAAAGGGATCTGTGTAAGGCAGCCGGGCGGCATTTAGAGAGCTTTCTGACAGAGAGGGAGTGACTTTTTTTTTAACTGATGTTAGTTTTCATAAATAAATGACTTTGTTTTGTTGTGTGTTTCTTACTACTTCTAGGGTTGTGGTTTTGGAAAGTAGGCCAACTGATAACCCAACAGCAAACAGCAATTTGTACATCTTGGCGGGTCATGAAAACAGCTACTGAAGACATGGTATTGTTGACAGTGACCTGTAGAGACGGGGCCCACGGCCGCCGCAGCGTTTGTGGATGCAGGGAGCTGTGCAGAAGCTGCAGGCACCTGGCTTCAGTTCCTTCTAATTTATTGTGGATGAGACAGTGGGAGAACTTTTGTTTTGAGTGGTATGATATATTTAGCGTACCGAACCACACAAGTGCTTAATTCACTGTATGTAATCTTTGTACATAGCAGCAGTATTTTTCTGTGAAACTTCATTTGCTGAAGACATACACTAAGAATTGATGTAGATAATGTACTTTTATGAGATGTAAAAGTGTCTTATCTGTACAGATGTAAATGTTGATTAAAATGCAACTGGGGTTAATATTTTAAGAATTCTTTAGTATATTCTTGGGTGTGGTTATATTACAAAATGGGATGCCGGCAATGAAACAAGACATTTAACACTATTGTATTTTTATTATATGTAATTTAGTAATATGGATATAAATCTTGTAACTTTTGAAATGGTAACGAGCTGTAATCATTTTATAATCTTGTTTTTAATTTTAATGTGAGCACTGGTGTTTCTCCTGCACAGAGCATTGAGCTGTGATGAGCTGAGTCATGGAGACAGCTGTGACGCCAGAATCTGCATTTGGCTCCACAACACCTTTTTACATGTGTTTGGATTGTTTTCTATGTGAAAGAAACAGATTAGCCACCTGTTGTAGTAACTGATTTGTTTTCTATTGAAGCAGAATCGTGTAAGATTGCTGTCCGTGCTTAGGACACTGCTTGAAAACACCTGCAATCACAGAATGGCGGTGCCATGATAGAGCCCGCAGTTGTCGAGTTACAGTGTGCGCACTGTCCGGATCCACACCAGACATTTCACATAATCACACTGAAAAGCTGTAACATTCCAGAGCGATCAGATTTCTCATGGAATTTTTACTTTTGTTGGCCTTTTTGTTTTTATCACTTTCATATTTCTTTTGATTTAGAGTATTAATACATGGCCAAATAATTTAGTTACTACCTCATATAAACATTATAATGGTTACTACATATCACAGGAACTTAGTTTGGTTAAAATCATTTTTGATTGTTTTTTCCCCAATGGAATATATCTATCTTATAAAGATGGGTATCAAGTTATAGCAAAATGCACACTTCTGGCTCTCTTTGGTATATGTTCTTTATATTTTGATGTGAGTATGTATACACTAAGAACAAGCTAAATTGTGATTTATGCTCCTCATTTATTTTAATTGATAATGGTTTTAAATATGTTCCTGATTGTACATACTGTAAAATAAACATGTTTTTTAACATGCTGTTGAGTAGTTGCTTCTCATCTGCCTTAGCAACATTAAGGAGAAATGCTTTGATTGAGAAATGCACTTAAAAGAGTCATCATGATTTGATCTGTGTTTTTAAGATAATATTCTCACAGTTGAAAAAAGGTCATCTTTTGTAGAATCATGGATTCTTGTCAGGAAAATTAAACACTCATGATATTTTGGTTAGAGCAAGAGTTGGTAATTAATATCTTAGCCAAATCTAGCCTACCCCCTATTTTTGTCAATAAAGTTTTTTTTATTTACTTTTTAAGTATACAATATTCTGTCTGTGTGTATGCCTGCAGGCCAGAAGAGGGCACCAGACCTCATTACAGATGGTTGTGAGCCACCATGTAGTTGCTGGGAATTGAACTCAGGACCTTTGGAAGAGCAGGCAATGCTCTTAACCTCTGAGCCATCTCTCCAGCCTTGTTAATAAAGTTTTATGAGAACACAGCACCAGTTATGTATTGACCTGTTGTCTAAGACCATGTTGTTATGAGAACACAGCACCAGTTATGTATTGACCTGTTGTCTAAGACCATGTTGATACTTAAGTGTCAGACTTGAATGGTTTCAGAGGAACAGCCTGGCCTGCAAAGCTCAAGTGTCTACCGTCAGGCCCTTTACAGAACGTGTTTTGTCACAGCCTGAGATAAAACAGCCAAGGAGCGTTGGGGGTGCAGTGCTGAAGGTCAGGAATCCAAAGATGGGGTGGGAAGAACGTGGCGTGGCTGCGTGACCAAGAGATGCTGTTCCTGTTGACTCTTTACACAACCTGTTAGAGCCATTACTTCAGAGCCATTACTGTGTCTAGAATCGGAGCAGTTATGGTTATTACTTTTCTAATACATCATACACAACCGACGTTAATTTTGTAATCACCTTTATAAGAATAACATCACTAACTAGCTGAAAAACAGACTTGTGGGCAAACTTTTAAGAAACCAGATTCTGCTCTTAGCATTGGCTACCAAGGCGGATGATGCTGTTGTAGGTTACATCTCAGCAAAGTTCACATTGAACCACCAAGCACTCCGAAATACCGCCCCTCCCTGAACGTGCCTATAACTGGTTGTATTTCACAAAATATCCCTGGAATCAAACTCTTTAGGAGTAAGGGCCACTAATCTTTGTTTCTATGAGGTATAAATTGTTCTGATAGGCCCCATGAGTAAGAACCGCAGGTATAGATTAAGTCAGCATCTCTGAATATGGCCCGAGGATCACTGGTTTCGGAGAATCATTTGGATGACAGTTTCCAGTGCACACCCCTAGGCTCTGCAGACGAGATCCACGCACATCAATGTTGAAAACAGTCATTCAACTAACATTCCGGATGCCTTTCTTGTTAACTGTGCTTCAGAAAAGGTGTGTCTGAGTTGTGTTTAAGTAGAGACCACAAAACAAAGGTCTCGTCATTCCCATCATTACTAGCACAGACGGGAAAGTACCGGACTAGGGGTTGGGGGTGGGGGGTGGATAGCCTGTAAACCCTGAAAGGACTTCTAACAATCTGTTGGGGATTTCCTATTGAGGTAAGTCAGAAATCCATCCAGTGAGGGTACTTGGTGGCATGAAGGTAAATAGCAGAAGTACACAGTGTGCTAAGGATTATATGCCTGTAATCCCAGCTGTGGAGGAAGACCACTAGTTCAAGGCCAGGCTGTGGAGAGCAAGTGCTCTCTCCCGCATTTCCTCTCTCCCTTTCCCACCATATAGATGTATGTAAACACACACACATACATATATATGTATATACACATATTCTTTATATAAATATTCTTTATATGATATAAGTACACATATAAACAAAAGATACCGTGATTGTGCTTTAGGGAAATAAACAGCATAGGTACAGGAAAAGAAACTTAAAAGTATGCAGGAGTAGTTCGAGGCCAGCCTGGTCTACAAGAGCTAGTTCCAGGACAGGAACCAAAGCTACGGAGAAACCCTGTCTTGAAAAAAAAAAAAACAAAAAAGTATGCAGGAGTGGTCTGGTAGGAGAGAGGCTAAAGTTTAGACATGCAAAAATACTGCATGTTCAAGTGATATTGGATGCCGTGGAGCCTAAAGCATGTGGACCAGGCACAGTGCTGGAGAGCAAAGGTGGGCCAGCCAGAGTCTATAGGTAAGTAGCTTGGAGAAACCAGGAGTGTGCACAGTCATCCCAGTATTTAGGAGGCAGAGATAGGAGACTCAGTTCATTGTCTTCCTTGGCTACTTATCAAGTGTTCTGACCAGCCTGGGAAACATGAGATCCTATCTCAAAAGAGTGGAGAGGAGCCCAGTCGTGGTGCCTAAGGCAGGCAAATCCCTGAGTTTGAGGCCAGCCTTTTGTACATTCCAAGTTTGAGGACAGCCAGGACTTAATAGAGAGACCCTGTCTCTGAAGAAGTAGAAAAAAAAAAAGTCAGGTGGCAGGCTGGAGATGTGAGTCGGTGGATAAAGCATTTTCCAAGCGAGTGTAAAGACCCGGGTCTGAACGCCTAGAACTCATCAAGTAAAGCTGTGCTCAGTAGCAGCCCTTTGCAGTCCTAATGCTCTTGGGGCAAGAGCTGGAGAGACAGGACAAACTCCCTAAGTTCACAGGTCACTCTCATACACAAAAGCAAACAAAGACCCTGTTTCAAGGTGAAAAACAAGACACCAAAGGCCACACACACAGTCCAGTAAAAATGAAAAAAGCCCCACAGATTTATACATAAAGTGACTTGATACACCTGATAAGAAATGTCTTCTGGCGTAAGGTCAGAAACCATACAAAAATGTGTAGGTGTTTTTAGGTGAATTTAGTGGATTCATGGTTCTGGTCCTGAAAGAGGAGCAAGATGCATGTGGTCACTAGTTTAATTTCGTTTAAAATGTCATACTTGAGCATATTCGTGAGGAATGGGGGATGAGGTAGGGAAGACACCTGTATGGAATAAGGGAAGTTTGGGCAACGTATATAGGGACAAAGAAAAGAGAAACATGGTAGGTGTTATGTGTGTGCCTTGACCTGCTGTTTATTTGCCGATAACGACTCGATTTCTCTTTCCTGAGGTTTAGCACGTTTGTCTCTATGTCACATTCAATGATGTTTACCTTACTTTCTTCTCCACTTGGGTGACCAACCTTGTCCCTTACTCTGAATCCGCCAGGCACTCTGGAGCATCATTGCTGAGTTAACGAAAAAGATGTCAGTGAGCCACGGCGGATGACTCAGAACCTGACTCCAAACAGTACAAGATAATAGAGCTAAGAATGATGGATAACTAACTCAAGGCTGCCCTGGCAGGGAACGAACCCAGCGAGTTCTGGGAGGAAACCTTTGTCCGGAAGCTGCACAGCCTGCGCGTCCCCGTTGCCCTGGCAACGCCACTGTGGCTTGTTCTCTCGGGAGTTCCCGCGCCGCTTCAGCGGACGACTCAGGCTGGGGCGCCCCGCGGCCGTCCACTGCGTCGTCACCCTCATCACCCTGCCTGCCTCGCCCGAGTCAGTGCCGTGTAAGTGCGGGTTCCCAGGCCGGGGATGGCCGAGAGAAGTGGGGGTCTGCGGGGCTCCGGAGGTCAGCCACTCGTAGGCCGTGGGAGTGTCAGGGAGGGACACAGACTCACCTGTGCATCTAGGGACCGCGTGTGGCCTGGACGCAGGGAAAAGTCGGTAAGCTCAGAGGCTTGGAAATGAACCAAGTTTTCGCCAAACGTCCAGGTCTTTTGTGTGCACACCTGAAGTGTGGAACATAAACAAATGTGTTGTGCAGATTGTGTAAATGACGTGTGAGCTAGTTTCCGACTGTGTTGACACGAACACCTTTATACGCAGATGTGTGCGTTTAAATTGTAGTAACTCAGTAAGGCAGAATGCTCGGTCGGTAGTCCATTTTCCCCATCTAGTTAATTAAACATGAAAGCATATTTGGTTTCACTGGAAACAGGAGACAATAAGCGGTGGACGGCATCCCCGAGTGATCTTTCCTGGCCTCAAACCTGTCCTTCCCCCTGAACATTCCTAAAGCCAGGCATTTACCAGTTTGTTTTTAACAGTTTCTTTCCTGTTAACATCTTAGATTAGGAAAGTCATTTTTTCACCTTTTTTCCCTACTCACCGCTTCCTCTCCCATCTTAATTTTGTTTACCTGTGTATTCCTTGTGCTTCCTCAATCCCTTCGGCACTTAGTTTGTGAAACAGTTGGGAAAACAAACCATCAAGTGTTTTTTTTTTCTCCAGGTACATTATTCTGTAAATCCTTCACAGTAAGGAAATGCCATAGAAACTTTCTAAGGAATTGAAAAATCCAGTGAAAGCTCACTCACCCCTCCACCTATGTGAGTCTTTTTTGCCATCACTGGTGGCCCCCAGCCTTCTCCTGCCTTTGTAGGCAAACTCCATTAACTCAAGAGGCAAGTTGGGAAGTTAGCATGGAAGGTATCCCACTTGGAGCAGAAGGTGCCTGGTAACTATGGAAACGTTTTCATCCAACAGCTATGCCCATTTAACCTTGCCCAGACAGTGTGCTAATAATCAACAGGTACCGTGGCTTCTGCTTTTACAAAGGGAAAAAAGAAGATTAGAAAATGAAACTATAATAAGATTTAAAAACCTACCATATGCCAGGGAATGGGTATGGATGCAAGTCCAGTGAGATAAGGAAGGGGCAGGGCAGGGTGGGCATCATCCTGCCTTTGGGGGCTGGGACACTTGAGTTGAAGTGTGAAAAAGGAAGAGGATTGAGACAGTGCACGCTGAGAAATAAGCAGACACAGCTGAAGGCGTTGGAGAAAAATCTGAGAGACAAAACAGGAAAGGAAAATCAGGGCGGGGTAGAAAGGACAAGCATCCTGCCACAGTGTGAAGTCTATTCTGTGGCCGTCAGAGGCCATGATGTACTTTCAATAAAAAGAAATGTTCTGGGGATTGAGATGACTCAGTGTTTAGGAGTGCTCGCTGTCCCTCCAGAGGCACCCGAGTTTGGCTCCCAGCACCCATGCTAGCAACTCACACCACCT